CCTCGAGTTATGCCCAAAAAACCATAGCTAAAAATCGATATTTGGCGATTTTTATAATACGATAGGAGTTATCGGCAAGAAATTGTTTAACACTTGCTGTGTAAGGCATAGAACAGTTATATTTCAAATTTCAAGTCTGCAGCTCATGTAGTTTCCAAGTTCGTTGAGTACACACTTTATTTGTTTTGTGCCAGTGTGACCATATGCACATTCAGCTTAATTATTTACTGGCTGACTGCTAGGCGAAATGACTTTCAAACTGTGACTTGGGGGGGAAATTCAAAGTTTGACAATTTGTTGATGTGTCTCGTCATGTGTCATATGCCAATATGCCCGTTCTCATTTGGTGGAACAGGGTATAACCAGGACAACGGCAACCAGAACGTCGACAGCAAATGCAATAAATTTTCAAGTCATTTCAACTTCCGGTGTGTGGCCCGATTACAGTTTAGTAGCTGTAAATATATAGGCGACACACACACACACACACACAAACAGGCAGCGCATCTGCAGCCGCCGTTTTTCTCTCTCTCTCTCTCTCTCTCTCTCTTACTCTCTCTCTTGCACTCAGACTTTAACGGTCTGGCAACGCTTGTGTGTGTGCTGGCCTGTTTTTAAAGCGTGTGCTGCTCATTAAACGTCGCATCGCTTGAATTTTATGTTGCCTACTTTTCAGCAGATTTTTTGCTTCGCCATTTCCCGTTTTTAAAGGGGCGTCGCTAAGCCCCCGAACGCCATTGTAATTACAGTTGAGGCCACTTGGGAGCGAGCGAGACACTCAATTATCTGAGACATATGAGGCAAAAATTATGGAAAGGCAAGAAGCAGAAATTGAAGAAGCAGACGAAGCAGCAGCAGCAGCAGCAGCAGCAGCAGAGACAATTCTTCAGCATGGACTTGGAGCTAGAGATGGGCGCGTGACGCAATAGCCCGTACCCAGAAGGCAAGAAGCAGAAGAAGCAGAGACATGTACTTGGAGTTGGAGATGGGCGCGTGACGCTTAGAGCTTGTCACGACAGAAGCAATCGCATATGTATTGTAAGAATCGTAATAAATACTTAAGCATTAGATCCAAGCGATGTTTGTATCGATATAGAATGCAGCGATGTATCGAAATGTGAAAAAATCGAAGTTGTATCGATGTTGAAACTGTGAAGACAACATTGATAACTCGATGTCGATAACATATTTTTATAGTCCGTTTCCGAGGGATTCGATTTTACCCAATTAATCATATATTATTTTGAACTAGAGTAGTTACAGTAATTTTATTTTTGATTACAATTCGATCTGTAGAAGAAACTTATGTATTAGATGAACAAATTTTAACTGTTATTTGCTTTTTATATTATTTAGTTTGGTGTCGATTTTGGATTTGTCTAACGAACGTAGACCTAAAATTTGAATTGTATACTCGACTCTAAGAACTAAACTTTCCGATTAGCAATCAGTTTCTTTGCTTAAACTTAAATATGTTTTTTATTTACATTTCAATTGCGTTTATTTATTATTTCATTTGTATTAATGCAATTAAGCTTTCATTATTTTATAAGCTTCATTGACTTTTAACTTGAATGCTTGACTTGCATATAATATATTTTTATTTGATGTTTCTTTAATTTTTGTCTTTGATTCTAGCTTTTTTCAACAACGAACTTGTTTTTTTTTTATTTATATTATTCTTGCTTTAAAACACTCATAATTAGACTAGACAAATCGCGTGTTTTTAAAATCGTGTCACGATAGTAAGCACGATATGCGCCCAGCTCTAGTTAGCTGTAAATCGAGCTGCCGCTGCCGCTGCCGCTGCCGCTGCCGCTGCCGCTGCCGCTGCTGCTGCTGCTGCTGCTGCTGCTGCTGCTGCTGCTGAGACTTTGCGGCGCTCTAAAGTTTCTTTTGGCGACACGTTATTTGCCTTGTCATTGTCATAGGCTGACGTTGATGTTGATGTTGATGCTATTGTTGTTGTTATTGTTGCTGTCATTGTTGTTGTTGTTGTTGTTGTTGTTGTTGTCAATGGCGCCATTATTAGAAATATTTCCATTGTTGTTCGTTAGCGTCGCCTAGCATCGCGGTTTTTCTTCCTATAACTGTCACATTTGCCCGCCACTTCATCATCATCATCAGCCTCGCAAACATCATCATCATCATCGTCATCATGCTGCTACCAATACAATGTAACCACAATTCTTGGCTTCTATTTGTGTGCGTGCTGCTTTACCCCACCCCCCCCCTCCCCCCCTCCCGCACACAGACACACTTCCACTCTTTCGTCATAAACAAAATGCTCAACTGCTTCCTGTTTGAGTGCAAGCCGTTCGCCTTCGCTCTCCCACTCTCTCCCTCTCTCCGTCTCTCTCTCTCGCTCATACTCTTTCGTCTGGTGATTAGCGAGCGCAGCAGCAGCAGCGATAATGTCGCCCATGGCGAGCTGACTGGATTGAGTGCAAAGGGGCGGAGGATGGGAAGAGGGGGGCGGGGGTGGGGGGCCAGGCAAATGATTGCCACTTGAGGTGTAAACGAGCGTATTTTACAGAGCGCGCGCTACCCGCACCTCAAGACGCTTAAAAAAGTCGAGTTACAAAGTTTATCAGGCAGAGGCATAACGGAAATCAACGGCACTGCAGCCGGGCGTCGGAATGAGGCAATGAGCGAGAGAGTGGGAGAGAGGGGCAGAACGAGAGAGGGAGATGACAACATTGCAGATCAGCGTGTTAAGTTGATGCGCTTAATCGCTTTAACAGTTATCGATATGCAGACATTGATACGGTTAAACAGATTCAACGAAAAGTGTGCACATTGAATATGCATAGAAAAAGATGTTAGCACTAAATGAAACCAATTTATTGGAAAATTAAAAGAAATATTAATCAGCATATTAAATGTAATCAAAACTAATCGAAAAGTGTGCACATACATTTATTTACAATTTATCTCTTAACAAAAAATCAATCACAAGAAAAGTGCACATGAAAACTGATTTAATGAAAAGTGTGTACATAAGATATGCAGAGAATAAAAGAAATCATGCTAGCACTAAATAAAAATTAGTTTATTGAAAAATGTTGAGAATTCCGATGCATATAGAATCTAATCTGATTTATCGAAAAGTGTGCACATATATTTTTCGAAACATATCAAATCTATATATTTAAAAAAAATATGTGTATCAAAACTGCTTTATCAAAAAGTGTGCACATATGCATAAAAAAACAAGCAGCCGAAGCTCTCCTATGCGAAGGTGAGATATTCTATGAAAGAAGAAGATAAGCAAATGAAATGCTTTAAGAATTCGCTTAGCTTCAATAAGTGTGACATTTAAAATGTACATTAATCAAATTGGTATTTCACCTGAAGCTCAGGCCGCCTTCTGGGCTAGCACAACAGATCCATCTTAGAGAACTGTCCTGCCCCACCTCATGCCTCAATCATATCAATTCGCCTTGAGGCAGGCAACGACGAAGTGTGCAGGTGCCAAGGAGCCCGACCAGGAGACAGCCTGTCGAATATCCTTGCAGGCTCAAATAGTCTAACAGAAGGTAATTTATTCTGGTTCTGTGATTTTTAAATGTGAGCATTTATTACATTATCGATATTTATCGATATTCAGGAAATAGGTGCAGGCTTAAATAGTCTAACAGAATGTAATTTATTCTGGTTCTGTGTTTTTGAAATGTGAGCATTTATCAAATTTCATTTCTCTTGCTCTTAACAACTCCTTTATCGATATTTATCGATATTTAGGAATTAGGTGGCAATATCTTTAAATCAACTCGACGCTTGATACTCTATATCGAATCCTTTATCGTGGCATCTTTTCAGGTCTCTTGTTCTTAACAACTCCTTTATCGATATTTATCGATATTTAGGAATTAGGTGGCAGTATCGATAAAGAAAGAAAGTTTCAAGTCTGTATCCTTTAAATCAACTCGATGCTTGATACTCTATATCGAATCCTCCCTCTGCCTGTTACACACATATGCACACTCCCCCCCCCCCCCTCCTCATTTTTGGGGCCATTTGCAGTGGATGCAGGGTATTACAGGAGAATCATTTGCCATCTTGAAGATGCCTTGGCTCGCAATTGCAGTTGCCGTTTATGGCCTTTATTGAAAGTGTCATTAGACGAAAGTTACTGCAGCAGCAGCAGCAGCAGCTGGCTGGGTTATTATTCCAGTTCTCAGCATTAAGTTGTTGTTAGGGGTGCTCGATAAATTTCGATAGTCCAATGAATATATATCGAAATCGTGTAATATATCGATATTTGACATTTTCATGTTTCTCTTCGATAGAATTAATTCAAGCTAAGAGAATTCGTCTGAGCTTATATTTTTATATTTGATTTGCCGAAAATATTGTTGTTATCGGGACATGAATACCCCTACTTGTCGCTCTGGCAAGGCGCTTCAATCGCTTATTTTGTAGACTAGACAAGCCGCTTGCGCAAATTGCTGTTTGCGCAAACCAATTGCCCATTTTGTACTTTTTGATTCATTTGCAAAAAATTGTAAATATTTGTTTAATTTTCTTCAAAAAATGATGAAAAAAAGATAAAGTAAATAAAAAGCATTTAAAACAAATTTTAATTTTTGTAAAATTGTGTAAAATTCGGGAGTTTTTGAACAAACGCCAATTAAAATTTATAAGTAAATTCCGACAAATAAACAAAAAAATTTATTTAAAAAAAAATGAGGTAAATTACTTAAAAGCTGGCTTCAAGTGGCGGAAGCGCAGCTTATCACAAACCGAACCGTGAATCGAACCGGCGACCATTAAAATGCACAAATTTGTACGTTTTGCTTTTGTAGCTTGCACAAACATCGTGTTGCGCAAACGAATTGCTTGGTGCAGGGGCCCGCCCCCTTTTGGCAGTGTCGAAACTTCCGTTAGATTTCAAACACAATACCAAATTTTCAATTTTCACCACGCTTCAATCTACATTCCAGTCTACACACGAGCAACTTAGCCAAGTTGCGCACCACTTGAATGCGCCAGGCTGGCCACACTGGCGCGCAGCGCTGCCAGACTGTTGGGTGTATAAATGCGCAGCAGCTGTCTAACGCATTACGCAATGGCAACGCTGGCAAATAGTTGTACACACACGCACACACACGCACACAGAGGGGAACTTACACACACATGTGCGCAAGTAAATATGTATTTTTTTAAACAAATATAACTTTTATCTGAATCAGATATTGCTTTTTTTAATTTGCACGGCCAACGCAATTAAAAAAAATATCGCAAGTGCGTTCGAACTAAGCCGTTAGCTCGATAACAAATTGTTTAAACAAACACCTGCCACACACACACACACACACACACAGGCACACACACACGCACACCCTGGCCGGCTTGTAATTTATTTAATGTATATATTATTTTGTAGAAAACGTTGCGCACAGATCTGTGCGATTAGTTGGCGCATTCGGACGAACGGTTAATTGTTGACCCCACGCGTGACCTTGCAATGTCCACTAACGGTGATCAGCCCGACGGCATGCCACCCAGCAGCCAGCCCCCGCCCCCTCCGCCGGGCATATGCATTAAACAGGCGCCGGCAACCAAGTCGCCGCCGGATCAATCGGTGCCCGCCTCTCCGAGCTACCAGACGCCACCGATGCGACGGAACGTGAGCGCCGGCAGCCTGATGATCGCCGCCGAGGCGAAGGAGGCGCGCGTCCGTGTCATCTACACGGGCGGCACCATCGGCATGATGCGCAACGAGCGCCACGGTGCAGTCCATCCATCTCTCTCTATCTCTCTCTCCCTCTCCTTCTAATCATCGCTCTCCTCTCTCTCCTGGCAGTGCTGGCGCCGATACCGAACGCCCTGGTCCGGCTCATACGCAAGTATCCCAATATACATGATGAGGATTATGCCCAGCGGCATTTTGGAGCAAGCGCATCTTTGGCGCCGCTCGTCCTGCCCTTTGTGCAGGGCGAATCGCGGCGGATTATCTATCAGGTGACGGAATATTCGCCGCTGCTCGACTCCAGCAACATGACCATGGACGATTGGGCGCGCATTGCCAAGGATATCCATGTGAGTCTCATCGTGCTCGACTTGCAGATACCCTCTAATCTCCCCCTCCCTCCCTTCCAGCAATCGTACGAGTTCTTTGACGGATTCGTAGTGCTGCATGGCACGGATACGTTGTCGTATACCGCCTCGGCGCTGTCCTTTATGCTGGAGAATCTGGGCAAGACGGTGATCATAACGGGCTCCCAGCTGCCGATCTTTGAGACGCGCACCGACGGCAAGGACAACTTCACGTCCGCTTTGATCATTGCCGGCAACTATGTAATACCGGAGGTGTGCATCTTCTTTGGCAACAAGCTGCTGCGCGGCAATCGGACGGTCAAGGTCAGCTCCAATTCGCTGGACGCGTTCGATTCGCCGAATGTGCCGCCGCTGGCGCAGATCGGGATCAGCGTGAATGTCGATTATCGTCTGATCTTTCGGCCGTGCAGCGTGGAGAGATTCTGTGTGCATTCGCAGCTGGACGAGAATGTTGGGCTGTTGCGCATCTTTCCCAGCATTTCATTGGCCACGTTTCGCGCCTTCCTGGCGCCGCCCATGCGCGGCGTGGTGCTCCAATCGTTTGGCTCCGGCAACATGCCCTCCAATCGCAAGGACCTCATCGATGAGCTGCGCGCCGCCGCCGAACGCGGCGTCATAATCATCAACTGCACCCAGTGCCCGAACGGCTCCGTCGCCGAGATCTATGACACCGGCAAGGTGCTCTTCGACGTCGGCGTCATACCCGGCTACGATATGACGCCGGAGGCGGCCCTCACCAAGCTGGCCTACGTCATTGGCAAGACGGACTGGTCGCTGGACGTGAAGAAACAGGTGAGTCATACGACTCTCTCTGCCTCTCTCTGCATCTAATCGCACTAATCCCTGTTGTATCCCCCCAGATGATGCAGGCGAATCTGCGCGGCGAACTGACCTCCGTTGCGGCGCACACGATGAAGGATTACGATCTGGTCGATGCTGTCGCACGCTCGCTGCACTTGTCCTCGCCGCAGGAGCTCGATCAGCTGGGCGCCACCTTGTTTCCGGCCATGATCAATGCGGCCGTCTACGAGGGCGACCTCAAGAAGCTGAACAACCTGAAGGCATACGGCGCCGATTTGTCGGGCACCAATCATGACCAGCGCACTGCCCTCCATCTGGCCTGCCAGCTGGGCGACACGGATATCGTGCGGCATCTGCTGCAGAACGGCGTCTCCGTCCACATACGCGATCTGTGCGAGCGTACGCCCCTCCAGGAGGCAGTTGCCACCGATAACCATGAGATCATCCAGCTGCTGATCAGCTGTGGCGCCCATTTGACCGGCTCCTCGCGTGCCGTTGGCGAACAGTTGTGCGCCGCTGCTGCACGTGGCGCTCTGCGGCGTCTGCAATCGTTTCAGCTGGCCGGCGCCGATCTCTGCCTGCCCGATCCCTCGGGCCGCACCGCGCTGCATGTGGCCGCCCTGCATGGCTATGTCGAGCTGGTGCAGTACCTCATGGCCTACAGGGAGAATGGCGAGCCTAAGGATATGCTTGGTCTGACGCCGTTGGACTATGCCAAACGTGGCGCTCATCCGGAAATTGTGCGTCTATTGGAAACTAGAAGCTGAACCGGATGCCTTAAATGACGGCCGGATTACTTAAATTTACCTCATCTATCTATCTCTTTCTCTCTCATTGTGCGTACCTGGAGCTGTCTAGTCCAGTTGTTTTTGTTCCTACATGTGCAATAGCTTTTTTTTTAGGTGCATTTCATATATGTTTTAACGGGAATTCTCATGTACTCGAAATAAACGGTTATTAAAAAGCAGCGATATATATTCCGATTGTAAATTCGATAACAATTTATTTTCAAATATTAGAAAGCATCGATAAATGCCAGTTTGCGGGCTAGTCTTCACGTTTCATCGCTTGTCAAAATAAACTTACCATACTTCCTTCTTTATATTCCCAAAAATGTATTTATAATGAATTTCTAGTCCAGTCGTTGTTGTTCCTACATCTGCGATAGCTTTTTTTTTTTATGTGCTTTCATATATTTAGCGTGTACACACATATAACTATATGTATTTCAACGGGTATTCTCTCTTAACATAGCTCCTTTTTATCCCCTTCAATATATACAAAATTTTGAATTCTTTAATTTATTCAAATCAGTCTAAAACCAACATAAACAAATAATTGAGTACATGAAACACTAACTGACACTATAAACGATTAATTATGCGATTTAATCGATACTATCGCATTTAACAACACTGTATCGATATCGAAGTGGTGAGAACAACCCTGTAATTGCAAACCAAGGGCAGTAACAACGACTTTGAAGCCCTGGTGTTTAAGTTTTTTTTGTTAGCATTGCTTAATTACAATTGGTAAATGAATTTTCAATGAAATGCAGTGCAAAAATTGTTAATAATTGTGGCAGGAAATCGAGTTGCCTATTGAAATAACGTACGAACGACTGAGTGTGTGTGTGTGTGTGTGTGACGTGGATGTGTGTGCTACTGTTTCGTATAGATGTACACACACGTACGCACACGCACGCACGCACACAACGAAGAAGTGCACACGTCAGTGCCACGAATTCTGGCCAAAATTTGCCAACGGCCTCAAATTGAATTAAATATAGATTGTATATATTTTATATATCAAATACATGTCCTTCCATCATTGCAGTCAATGTCGATAGCTAGCAGGACGAACCTCACGAAACACACGCGACGACATTGGATATATCCCCGCCGGAGATAGCCAGTGCGGTTTTATTTTTTGTTTTCCCCCTCTGTTTTTTGTTGTTGTTGTTGTTTTTGTTTTTAAGCGCATTTAGCTAGTTGCATTTGGTTTGTAATGCCCGGGCACAGGGGCACGGTGGAGCCGGAGGATGCCGATGACAGCAGCTCCACGGATTTATCACTTGGCCAGGTAAAATGTCTGCTTCATTCCACTTTCCCTTCTTTCAACATTTCCGACTTTTCCGACAGGCGACAACTGGCGGCGGCGGCAAGGCACGCCTGGACAGCCTGCGCGAGAATCTGTTCAAGCAACAGGTAAGCTTACCATGTCCCATATGCTAGCCTTTTATTCATGCCGGACTCTACTCTGAACAGGAACGTCTCACGGCGTTGCGTGAGCGCGCGCTGCGCAAATCCGAGGATGGCGCTGGCGCTCCACTCAAGTCCAGCCTAAGTGATTCCATGGAATCGCTCAAGTCGCTGGGCCAGAAGCTGACCATGCTGAAGGGCTCGCCGGGCCAGCAGCTGCTGTCCTCCACGCCGCTGGTCACGCCCACCAAGCTGGCCGACCAGCTGGAGTACAGCGGCAGCGAGAAGCTGCAAATGCTCAACCAGCGCACCGAACAGAATCGTGCGCTGCTCGAGCAGCGCAAACGTGACATGGCCAAATCGCTGCAGTCGGTCAAGACGGGCCTCCGTCTGAGCACCAGCAGCGAGCTGGGCTCCTCGATGAGCGATCTGCGCGCCGCGGCTGCAGCGGCGGCGGCGGCGACGCCGGCGCCCGTGTCGCGGCATCGTTCCGCGGCGGATCTGCAGCAGCAGCAACAGCAGGCGCAGGCGCAGCCGGCCAGCGAGGAGGGTCGCCTGAAGCTGCTGAAGAACAAGATGAAGCTGATCGAGATGAAGCAGGGCCGCAAGGAGCAGGAGCTGCAGCAGGAACTGCACGAGCTGCGCCACGAACTGGCGCAGCGCGAACAGCACATACAACAGCTGGAGGCGAGCGAACGCCCGCTGGCCGAGCAGGAGAACACCCGCCTGCACGCCGAGATCGAGCAGCTGCGCACGCGCAACGCCGAGCTGGAGCACAGCAGCGAAATGCTAGAGACGCTGCGCCTCGAGCTGCACAGCGCACGCGAGCAGCTGCTCGAACAGCAGCAGAGCCAGGCCGTCTCAACCGATGCGCAGGTCAATGTGGAGCTGGCCAAGCAGCTGCAGGAGCTGCAGCAACAATTGCTGGAGCAGCAGCAGCAGCAGCAGCTGGAGGAGCTGGATGAGCCCAGCGCTGGCAGCGAAACGCAACGTTTGGCCGAGCTGGAGGCGATTATCGAGACGCAGAACGAACAGCTGGCGGAGAAGACCACCGAGCTGAATGTGCTCAATGTCAATTTGCGCGTGCTCGAGGAGCGGCTGGCGCAGAGCGTCAAGAGCAAGCCGCTCTTCCAGGACGAGGAGGCGGCGGCCAGCGAGCAGCTGCAGCTGCAGCAGCTCAAGCAGAAGCTGGACGAGTGCAACAAGAGCAACATCAAGCTGAAGCTCAAGTGCAAGCAGGCCGAGAAGCAGCTGCAGCAGCTGCAGGGCCAGGATGCGCAGCAGGAGCTACTGCGATTGACGGCCGAAAATGAGCAGCTGCAGCAGCGCATCACGGTGCTCGAGGATGAGAAGGGCCAGTGGCAGCTGGCCCATGTCGAACGGGAGCAACAGGTGGAGGAGGATCAGCAGCAGCAGCACCAGCACCAGCAGCAGCTGGTGAGCAAATCCACGGCCACAGCTGGCCAAAACGACGAGACGATACGCCTGCTGGAGGAGCAGAAGGAGGAGCTGCAGCAGGCACTGGCAGCGCTGCAAATGGGCAGCGCCGCGGCACGCGTCGAATCCGAACTGAGCGAGGTGCAGCTAGAGGAGCAGCTGTCGCAGCGCGTCCAACAACTGGAGGCGGAGGCCAACGAGCAGCGCCAACAGCTGCAGACGCTGCAGTCCGAGAAGGAGGCGCTCGACAAGAAGCTCAGCCACTACATCAACGAGAACATGGAGCTGCTGGACAAGCTGGAGAAGCTGAGCTCCTCCAGCTCTGCGGAGTCCATCGAGATTGTCGAACGACCCACAGATCGACGCTTCAGTCCGGCTGATCCAGCTGCCGTCGGAGACGGAGATGGAGCTGGAGCTGGAGTTGACCCTAATGTTGGAGCTGGACAAGAGCCAGCCGCTGCGCCTGTTCGGCTGCCGAGCTTTGTGAGCGAGCTCACCCAAACGGATCTGGTGGCGGCGGGGCCCGAGCTGGAGGTCAACGAGAGTCTCGCCCAGCTGCGCAACGAGAGCGACGAGCTGCTCCAGAAGATTGAGCTCTTCACCAGCGAGCGGCGCGAGGTGCTCGCCAAAATGGAGCAGCTGCAGGCGCAGAATGCCCAGCTCCAAGTCCAGCTGCAGACGACGCAGGAGCAGCTGCTGGCGGAGCGTGGCTCGCTGCAGGCACAGCTGGAGGAACTGCAGCGGGATAAGCAACAGCTGTCGCTGCAGTTAAGCGACAAATCGTCGAATCTCTCGCAGGAGCTGAGCTCCATGCAACGCTCCTCGGAGGTGGTCGCCGCCCTCGACTGCGGCTCTGGCGGCGCCGCGCTCTTCGACAAATGCGAACGTTCCCTCTCCAAGCTCAGCTCCGAGCTGGATGCCTATCGCAAGGCCAACGATCGCAACGCCAAGCTGAACGTGTCCAAGAAACTGGCCAAGGAGGCCAAAAATGTGCACAGCCAGCTCTCGGAGCTGCTGCACAAGGTCAAGGAGGCCAGCACCGCGGTGGAGACGGTCACCGTCGTCGAAACCGTTGTCGCTGTCACTGCGCCCAATGGCAAAGCTCTCGCGGAATACGAACAGCTCAATGCACAGAATGCCGAGCTGAAGGCCGCCCTGGCAGCGCTCCAAGCGGAGCTGGACGAGATGCGCGACAGCTGCGAGTCGACGTCGGAGCAGCTGTCCAAGCGGGCAATAGGCCACAAGCTCGACGAGGAGTGGGAGCGGGAGCAGGAACAGGAGCGGGAGAAGGAAAGGGAACAGGAGCGGGAGAAGGAAAGGGAGCGGGAGCGAGAATCCCTTATAGCGGAGCAGCAACAGCAGCTGGCCCAGCTGGAGTCGATCATTGCGGAACTGCGCGCCGGCGAAACGGAGCACCTGCAGCTGATTGGCAGCCAGAGCGCGGAGCTGGTGCAGCTGCAGCTGCAGGCGGAGCAGTACGATCAGACGCTGAACAACAGCGAAATGGCCCACGAGAAGCACATGGAGCAGCAGCAGCGTCTGCGCCGAGAGCTTCAGTCGCGCATCGAGACGCTGGAGGGGGAGCAGAGCATACTGCAGGCTTTGGTCGCCGAGCAGAAGCAACAGCTGATCGAGAGCTACAGCGAGGGCGAGTACGAGACGCAGCTGAAGCTGCTGGAGCTGCAGCAGTGCCAGCAGGAGCTGGAGCAGAGCGAGTCGCGCAACAAGGAGCTGCGCGACAAGCTCAAGAAATATGCCTTGAATCTTAAGAAGCGGCAGGTGGAGCTGCAGCAGGAGCAGGCCAACTCGGCGGAGCTGCGCGACCAAAAGCAGCGCCTCCAAGCGGAGCTGGAGCAGGCGCAGCAGCAGGCCCAGCTGGAGAACAAGGAGCTGCAGCAGCAGCTGCTCAAGCAACAACCCAAGCTGGCCAAGCTCAAGGAGGAGGTGGAACGCCTCCAGGTCGAGCTGCAGAACACGGTGCACGCCAATACGGCGCTGCGCCAGGAAAGCTACCAGCTGGAGCTGTCCCTTGCCGAGCAGACCAGCAGCGAGGAGCTGCGCCGCCAGTTGGAGCAGAAATCCCTGAAGTTCGACAAGTCCAAGGAGGTGATCAAGCAGCGCAACGCCACCATCCAGAACCTGCAGCGGGAGCTTGCCGAGCTGCGTGTCCAGCTGCAGGCCCAGTCCGAGGATGAGGAGTTGAAGCATTCGATGATGCTGCTCCAGGTGCAGCAGCTGCAGGCGCAGAGCGACCAGCTCAGGGAGGACAAGATCAACTTTGAGATGGCCTACGCCCGGCTGGAGACGCTGCACTCGGGCATCCAGCTCAAGCTGCAGCAGGATCAATCCTATATCGAGTCGGTGGAGGCGCAGAATGCCGAATTGCAGACCAAGTGCACGGCACTCGAGGATCGGGCCGCTGTGCTGCAGGGGCACGAACTGAGCGGCAAGGAGGAGCTGCAGCTGCTCGAGCAACAGCTGCAAATGGTCGAGCAGCAGCGGGCCGAGAACGAGGCGCATCTCGCCGCACGCCTCCAGCAGCTGGCGGAGCGCGAGCTCAGCCAAAGCGAGCAGCTGCAGCGGCTCGCCAGCGAGGCGCAGGAGGCGCGCGAACAAATGCTCGCACTCCAGGCTGCGCACGATGCGCTCCTGGCGCGGCACAAGCAACTGACGCAGCAAGCCCAGCTGGCGCAGGAGGAGCGCGACCAGGAGCTGCACGAGCTGCGCACACAGCTGGAGCAGCGCAACCAGGAGCTGCAGCGCCAGCGACAGGTCTACGATGCCAAGCTGGCGGCCAAGGCCAGCGAGCTGGACGAGCTCGACTGCGATCTGAGCGCACATATGGAACGGGCCACGGCGCAGACGCGTGAGCTTACCCATCAGCTGGAGCGCGCCCAGGAGCAGCTGCAGCAACGCGACGAGCAGCTGGCCCGCCTCAACGAGGAGCTTGCCGAGCTGGAGCGCGAACGACTCCAGCTGCTTGACAGCAGCCAGCGGAATGTGCAGCAGATGCAGCAGCTCCGTATGCAGTCCAACCAGCAGCTGCGGGCGCTCCAGCAACAGATCGCCGATCTGGGCACGCACAACCAGACCGACGACCAGGTCCACATCGAGACGGAGACCAACCGACTCGCCGAGAAGCTCGCCCAGCTCGACGAGCAAGCCGAGCAGCTAGCTCTAGCTCCAGCTCCGGTTCCAGCTGACGATTGGATGGCCTGGTCCATACCTGATCCTGACCCTGGCCAAGTTCCAGTGTCCGCGGAGCAGGTATGTAGCTGAACAACAAAAAAGACTGCTCTCTCCCCTCTGCCCGTTAACGGAGCCCATTTATGGGGCAGTCTCGTTTAACTTGGCTGCCTCAAGTCTGATCTCTTCGAAATAGGAAAATACGGGCCGGTGTCCGAAAACTTAACCCACATCCCAAGTTTCGTGCATCTGGCTCGAATAGTTCTCGAGTTATGCTAATGAAGAACAAAGTCTTAAAATCAACTTTTTTAAGTTTAAAGATAAATTTGAAAATTTCATTCTGCTAAAGGTAAACAAGAATATTTTTCCAATTTATCAATTCTCAAATGATTTGGGTCTCGAACCGCTTTAAGTTGAGCTCAAAACTGGTTCAAATCGTTTTTTGAATTATCGTACAATCGGTTTTGTTTTGATTAGGCAGAAGACTTAGTGAACCGTGCATGGAAATCGGTTCCGTTTGAACCGGTTCGAGTTGCCAATTCGTCGATAACCAGTTTAAGTTATATTCAACTTAATTGCCGTACAACAAAATTAGGTTTAATTGTTACAAACTAGCAACCGGTTCAGTTGTGGCTTACTCTGAACCGGTTAACTACTGTAAATACTTCAAATCAACGGTTCAAAATTATTTTCATTGCAAACTCGTTCAGCTGTGTATTTTTTTTTAAACGTTTCTAGTTCTATAACGATTAATAATAATTTTACGAACCGGTTCAGGCTTTATTGGGTGATAAAAATCCGTTCAAATAACCGGTTCAATTTAGTTTTTTTCAAACCGGTTCGGTTGAGTTCTGAACCGATGAACCGGTTCAGTTCAGTTAGATGCAATTCCTAGAAAAGAAATCCAGATCAATAAACCGGTTCAACATAGTTTTTTTTGAACCGTTTTAGCTGTGTTTTTATTGAAACCGCTTTCGGTTTTATCTGGCACAATTCATATTTTTTTAAAACCAGTTCAAGGAACAGGCAAAAGACCGTTTGCGAACCGGTTCAGGTGTATTTCGCTATGAACCGGTTCCAGTTCAGTTAGATGATATTCCTAGAGAAGAAATCCTTGTTCAAATAACCGGTTTGATAACGGTTAGAGATAGTTTTGCGAACCGGTTCAGCTTTGCTGCTTTGCTTTGCGGTGTCTCAGGCGAATCTAATCCCCGTCCAACCGTCTCCGTCTCCCCCTTCCCTATTCCCCTTCCCCTCCGATTACCCCGCCTCATTTATTTGCCGGAACTGATTGGATTTATTTTCGCAGAGTTTGCCATTGCCCGCGCCCGCCATGTTCTTTGGCGGCGATGCGGCGGCGGCGCCCTCGCCCTTCGACGAGATTGTCGCCCAACCGCTGCAGATGAGCACACAGAATGTGGGCGTGGCACAGGGTGAGTCGAGCGATCGGAGCATCGAGAATCTGCAGCGCAACGTGTCCGATCTGGAGAAGCACGCCAAGGAGCTGGAGTCGCAGCTGGTGGCGCGCAACCAAGCGCTGGCCGAGCACGAGGAGCAGCGCGTCCAACTGGAGCGGCTGCTGGCCGAACGGGAACAGGAGCTGGACCAGCTGCGCGCCGCTGCCGAGGAGCGCGAACGTCTCGCGGCCATCGAGCAGCTAATACAGCCGCCCACCCTGGACATGTTCTTTGGCGGCAGCGGCGGCGGCGTCGGTGAGACGGTGCCGGATGCAGCCGTTGCCAGATCCCAACAGGAGCTGGGTCTGCCGCAGAGCGAGCCCGTCGTCGAGCAGCTCATAACGCCAAAGAAGGCGTATCTCTGCCAGCCAGAGCAGCAGCAGCAGGAGCAGCAGCAGCAGCTGGAGCTGGCCATCGACTGGGCCGTGGACGTGGACGAGGATCCGTGGGCAAATGCCGGAGCCGAGCAGCAGGAGCAGGAGCAGCAGCTGACAGATGTGAATGCAGCGCTGCATGCGCGCATCGAGGAGCTGGAGGCGCAGAAGGCGAAGCTGCAGACGAAGACCGCCAAGCTGATGAAGTGCGTCAAGGAGTACCGCAGCAAGGAGCAGCAGGAGGCGGCGCGCAAGGACAACAACAACGAACTGGACGGCGCCATCATGGACGAGCTGAAGCTGCAGCTGCAGCTGCAGGAGACGCGTCAGGCCAAGACCGAGGAGCTGCTCCAACAGCAAACGCTCGAAAAGGAGAAGCTAGTGAAGCGCATCGATGTGCTAACCGCCGGCAACGAGCGCATGGCCGAGCTCAAGGAGCGCCAGGATCGCGAGGTCCAAATGTATCAGACGCGCATACGCGAGCTCCAGCAGAAGCTCGAGCAGCTCGAGAGCTGGGACGAAGTGACAGCCACGCCCACGCCCATCGCTGATGATGCAGCGGATGCGGCGGATGCAGCACGTGCAACCATTGAGAATTTACAGGCCGAGAACCAGGAGCTGAACAGCGAGTGCCAGGAGCTGTTGGCACAGCTGCAGCAGGAGAAGCAGCGGGCGCAGCGCGAACGGGAGCAGCTGCAAGCGCAGCTGGAGGAGGCACATGACCAGCAGGCGGAGCAGCTGAAGCAGCAGGTGGAGCAGCTGAAGCAGCAGGCGGAGCAGCAGGTGGAGCAGCAGGTGGAGCAGGTGAAACACCAAGTGGAGCTCGAGAAGCAACAGGTGAAGCAGGAGAAGCAGCAGGCGGAGCTCGAGAAGCTGCAGGCGGAGCAGGAGTGCCAGCAGCTGCAGCTGCAGCTGGCTGAGCTCAGGGCCAAGCAGCTCGAGCTGCCGGCGATGGTAACGACGCCGCCAGCTGCGACTGCAACTGCAGCCAGTGATGATGAGAGCCGGGCGCTGTTGCAGGAAAAGGAATCGGAAATTGTGCATCTGAAGCAGCGCATCGAGGACCTAATGCGCGAGGATCAAACCGAAAAGCTGGTGCTGGAGATTCTAACCAAGAACCAGGAGCTGCAGCTGCTGCGCATCCAAGTCAAGCAGCTCGAGGAGGACAAGCTGGAGCAGCAGCAGCAGGCCAGCCAGGCGGCAGCTCAGCCGGCCGAGGAACTGGAGCAGCTGCGTCGCCAGTGCGAGCAGCAGCAGCAGGAGAAGTCCGACATGGAGGAGGAGCTGCGCGTGCTCAACAATCATGTGCTCGCCAGCCTAGAGCTGGAGGACAAAATGAAGCAAGCCCTGCTCGAGCTGGACACGAAAACCATTGAGATAACCGAGCTGCGCAAAACGCTGGAGCAGCTCCAGCAGCAGCAGGCGGAGCAGCAGGTGGAGCAGCAGGCGGAGCCACAATCCGATATCGGGGCACTGAACAAGCAGTGGGAGGCGCTGGTGGAGCAAAAGTGCAGCGAGGTGGCCAGCATTTGGCAGGAGCATCTGGCGCAGCGCGAGGCCGATTACCAGGCGAAGATCGAACAGCTGACGGCAGATGCGGCCCAATCTCCGGCAGAAAAGGCGGAGGAGCCAACGGACGTCGACGAGATGCTGGTGAAGATGCAGCGAGCGCTGGAGACGCAGGAAATGGAAATTGTGACATTGAAGGAACAGCTGGCGATACGTTCCGCTGAATATGCACGTCTCGCCTCCCAATACGATCCCTTCCGGCTGCAGAATACGCTCGGCGGCGGCGGCAATCCGAGCGGATCGACAGCAGCGGGCAACAGCTCGGATCCGCAGTCGGCGGAGCTTGTGCCCAAATCGGATCTGGACTATGCGCTCATGATGCTCCATCAGCGAGACATGCGCGTCGAGGAGATGATCGTGGAGCTAGTGCAGCTGCTCGAGGAGCGCGATCATCTGCAGCTCAAGCTCTCGGACACGCTGCGCCAACTGGAGGCCGAGCGCAGTAAGTCTTGTCCACACACACACACACACATACAGCTGCTCTTCAACTAATTCCTTTTAATATTCCCCATTCATGCAGCTGGCGCACCCTCCTCCATCTCGCCGGCGGCACCGACGACGACGGCGGCGGCGGCCTTGGGCAGCCCCAACCTACAGCTGAGCGTGAGGAGCAGCAGCAGCAGCGGCGATCTCGCCGTGTCCCCAGCTGCCAGCGGCAGCGATCTGAAGCAGAAGTAAGTCCCGAATGACTAGACTAGATAAGTCCCGAATTCCGGTCAATCGCTTGAACTGCATCTCTGCGTAAGAGAAGCCAAGGGTGACTTCATCCTCCTGGTGTAGTCATCCTCCAGCTAGGCATCTTGGCCAGCTAATCTTTACTCTTACGACTTCATCAATGACCCTTCCCAATTGGTTTCTTACATCCCGATCGTGCTCAATAAGGCCAGAATTTTATTTTGGGTTTCATCAAGCGATCAAAAGCGTCAAAAGGAGTTCGACGATCCGTGCACGACAAAGATCCCTTATATATATACATATATATATCTACGACCTAAACTTGAGTTCTCACAATATACTATTCACCAAGGCAGACTTGAATCTGCGCAGAAATAATTCTTTCCTCCTACTCCACATCTGATGATTAAGCTTGCTTGAAATCGACTCTTCTATGTTGACTAGCAAATTCATCTTCTCTTCAGAGTTCTCTGTGATGACTATAACAGGGATTGTGGAATATTCTGCTCGGAGTCTTCTCTTCCGCCAATAAAGTCTCAGTCTCAGAATACCCAGATTAACTAATAGTTCATATATTGTTGCCCACAGATTGGCCGAGCTGCAAACGGTGAAGCATTCCAAGGACAAGGCAATTGTGGACGAGCGCGAGCAGCGACTGCAACAGATGGTTCAGCTGCAGCGGGACATGGCGAAGGCGGCGCCAACAGCCGGAGCAGCAGCAGCCGGCACGTCTCCAGTGACAACAGCTCTGCCTAGTCCTACTCCTCCTGCGCAGCAGCCGCAGCAGCAGCTCGATGTGGATCCAAGTAGGTGACATTCTTAAGATTCCTCTAAATAACGATATTAATTCAATTATAATCTTGGCCAGGTCAACCTGCGCTGCGCTCCCCTTCCATGCTGCTTATGGACTGGATATTGGGAAACAACAAGAGCGAGGACGAGGCGCCACAGACGCCACATAGCCTGTCCTCCCCCCAGCAGCAGCAGCAGCAGCAGCCGTCGTCGTCGTCGTCGTCGCATCCTCCGGCGAGCAACTAGCAGCTCGCCAAGCGTCGCCAGCGTCGCCAGCGTTGCGCCAAGTTGACTGAGGCGAAATAATTATCGATTTAAACAACCTAGCATAAGAGTTCTATATTGTGTACCTTGGCTGAATGTAAACAAAGAAAGATGTAAAAGAAAAACAGCAAAAGAAAAACGAAAAAACAAACAAACAAACAACAAAAATATGAGATCAACTATTCCCGAATTGAGGCCCGCGCCCACGTTTTATGTTGTAGATATGTAAAAATTGTAAAAAAAAAAACAAAAAAAAAAGGAGAAAAAACAACTAGAAACATATGAATATAAAAACGAACGTAAATAATATTTAAATTTAATGTTTTATTCCTATATATAAAATACATATATAATACATATATAATACTATATAAAACGTCTATAATACATAGATAAAGTAGTACTATATAACATACAAGTATTTTGTACGAAGGGATATAGGTATTATATATGGGTAGGTATGTATGTATGCGCTTGTGTGCGTATGTATGTGTGTTAGCGTATGCATGTATGTATGTATGCATATATGTATATGTATATGTATGCATGCATGTTTGTTTTCTAAGACCAAACGCAGACCAAGCTTATTTGTCGCTGTGCTGCAAATTTAAATGTAACGCCTTTCTACCAAGTGCTCTTCTCCTCGATTCTCAAGAGTTCAAGTAGGCTGTGCAGTTTTCCATGCTTTGCTGGTAGTGTAGTGGCTTTTTTTTGTTTTTTTTTTTGTTGTTGTTGTAGGTACATATGTATGTATGTATGTACGCATGAACATATGTTTGTATGTATGTGCATATGTATGTTGTACATTAGTGTGTATGTATGTATGTGTGTACATATGTGTGTACATATGTGTGTACATATGTATGTACATATGTGTGTGTGTGTGTGAGTGTGTGTGTGTGTGAGTGTGTGTGTGTGTGAGTGTGTGTGTGTGAGTGTGTGTGTGTGTGAGTGTGTGTGTGTGTGAGTGTGTGTGTGTGTGAGTGTGTGTGTGTGAGTGTGTGTGTGTGTGAGTGTGTGTGTGTGTGTGTGAGTGTGTGTGTGTGTGTGAGTGTGTGTGTGTGTGTGAGTGTGTGTGTGTGTGTGTGTGTGTGTGTGTGTGTGTGTGTGTGTGTGTGTGTGTGTGTGTGTGTGTGTGTGTGTGTTTTTTTTTTTTTTTTTTTTTGCTTACGGCATGGAGGTGAAAATCTTCGTAAGATACTGATGGCCCGGGCCAACCGTATGCACGATTCGCTGACTCCGTCAACACCTACGTACTAAACTCACCCCCCACTCACACACCACATTCCCCGCGGGATCACCGCAAAGTATTACTTCGCGGGGATGGGTTGCCTATTTTAGGCAGTCTCCATTATTCGTCGCTCCTTTTCGCATCGTCTCAGATCCCTCTGGATGCCTATTATCAGCTGACTTATATTCCTCCAGTTGTCCTCTCCTTCCAGCATGAACGTTACTAGTCCCTCAGGTGGGGGTACAGAGCCTACTGCGTCTCTATACCTCGAGCATTGGTACAGCACGTGTTCCGGGTCTTCGTCCAAATTTGGGCATGTCGGACACTCCGGGGTGTCCTCATGCCTGAACCTGTGGAGATACTTCCTGTACCCGCCGTGTCCAGTAAAAAACTGCGTTAGGTGGAAGTTAATTTCTCCGTTCCGTCTCCTAATCCATTGCTCCAGATTGGGGATTAGTTTGTGTGTCCATCTCCCCTTGTTCGCCGTGTTCCATCTCTCCTGCCAAGTTGCCATTGATTTAGCTCTCTCCGACCGTCGGATGACGTCTATTGAGACAGCTTCGCCTGTCGCTATTCGTGCTTTGAATATGTTCTCCATTTCCTTGGCCAATATATCTACCGGCAGCATGCCTGCCAATACTGTGGCCGCCTCGTCCGACACCGTCCGGAATCCAGAGATAGTGCGGAGTGCGCTTAGCCTGTAGGGGACTGACATTTTCCTTCTGAGGCCTTTCTGGCTTGCGACTGCTGATGCCCATATCGGTGCAGCATAGAGCAGCACGGAGGCTACAACTCTCGCGAGGAGTAGGCGTCTACCTGCTCTTGGTCCTCCTATGTTTGGTAGCATCCTTGAAAGGGCCGCCTGCATTTTTGCCGCTTTCTGGCTAACATACTCTACGTGAGGACGAAAGCTAAGCCTGTTGTCTAACATGACCCCCAGATACTTGATGGAAGCCTTTGACTCGATACTAACGCTGTCTACCTGAAATCTAGCAAACTCAACTATCTTGCGGCTTGTGATAAGCACAGCCTCTGTTTTATGGCCTGCCAGCTCCAGGCTAGCGCCACGCATCCAGCTGGCCACGATCCTTATGGCTGCATTCGCTGCCGCTTCTACTTCTTTTATTTCTTTGCCCACCACTAATAGGGCCAGATCATCTGCGAATCCTATGATTCTGCATCCCTGGGGCAATTGTACTCTGAGCACCTCGTCGTACATTATGTTCCACAGGAGTGGTCCCAAGACCGACCCCTGTGGGACCCCTGCTGTGACCATGTAACTCCTAGTACCGTCTTCCGTATCATAAGTTAATAGTCGATCGGACAGGTAGTTGGATATTATACGGAAAAGGGAGGACGGTATCCCTATTCGGTCTAAGGCTTCCAGTATTCGAGACCAGCTTGCTGAGTTAAAGGCGTTGCGGATGTCCAACGTAACCACCGCGCAGTACTCCTTCTCTCCCCACCTCCATCGGGTACCCTCTATTGCTTTAGTAGCAATATCTACCACCGCCTTAATTGCGTCGACCGTAGATCTAGCCTTACGAAATCCGTATTGCTGTTTGGACAGGGCCTCTTTCTCTTCAACCACCCTTATTAGTCGGTTGTACACGATCCTCTCCAGAACCTTTCCCGCCGTGTCCAGTAGGCAGATTGGCCTGTATCCCGAGGGTTCCTCTATTGGCTTATCCCCTTTCGGTAGGAGGATTAATTTCTGTCGCTTCCATCTCTTGGGAAATACACCGTCCTGCAGACATCTATTGTATGTCTCGGCGAAGGCGTCGGGTTTCGTCAGCATGGCTAACTTTAGCGTCTTGTTTGGCACCCCATCTGGTCCTGGAGCCTTTTTGTCGTCTAGCTTCTTGCTTGCCACTACCACTTCGTCTGTCGACACCTGCTGCACCAGTTCCGTGCTTCGTGAGCGGCTGACGACCTCCAATCTTGGGTGATGGGGGAACAGTGCCTCAACTATAGTGGCGAGTGCGGTAGGACAGGTCACACGGGTTGTTCGCTGGCTGCGTATCTTCTTCGTGACTACCTTATACGCCGTGCCCCACGGGTTTACATCGGCCTCGTCGCATATTTGCTGGAAGCAGCTGGATTTGCTTTGTTTGATACTTCTTTTGAGGTCTCGCTTGGCTGCCCGCAGGTCATCCAGCCTAGATGCAAAGTCTGGGCGGCCTCGGGCTCGTTGGGAGCGTCTTCTAGCGCGTAGGCAGGCCTTCCTTAGGTCGCTGATTTCCTCGTTCCACCAGTAGCAAGGTGCTCCTCTTCTGTTTAGCTTCCTCCTGGGCATGGATAAGTCGCACGCGTCCGAGATGTTTTCCATAAGCTGCCGTGCCATGTCTTCTGCTGACTCCGTGGCCCCAGTCCATCGAGCATGGCGTAGGGAATCCGTGTATGTTTCCTTGTCTAGGCAGTTGTCCTTCCATTTGGGGCCTGTTGTTTTGGGCTGCTGTTTTCTCCGTCCTCTCCCGTGGATCTCGAAATGCACTGCTTGGTGGTCGCTGAATGTGAATTCATTGCTGACTTTCCATGTGGTTAGCCTATAGAGTGAGCTGCTGAGCAGGGTGAGGTCTATAATAGAGCCTCTACCGGCCTTGCAGTACGTGAGCTCCTGCCCGTCGTTTGCAAGGCCCAGGTCGATCGCCGCGTGTGTGTGTGTGTGTGTGTGTGTGTGTGTGTGTGTGTGTGTGTGTGTGTGTGTGTGTGTGTGTGTGTGTGTGTGTGTGTGTGTGTGTGTGTTGTCCCAACAACGCGATTCTCAAGTGAATTCAAGTAAAGTCTCATAGGCCTCACTTCAAGAGCAGGAGGCGGCTGCTTCAATATTGGAGGCGACGGCAGCTTCAGCAAAGAAGGAAGCGGCGGCTGTAATATTGGAGGAGACGGCGGCTTTAAATATTGGAGGAGACAGCGGCTTTAAATATGGTGGAGACGGCGGCCTGAGCAAAGGACGAGGCGACTGTAAAACTGGATTAGGCGGATTCAACTATAGAGCAGGCGGTGGCTATGGCTTGGGCGGAGAAGGCGGCATACATATTTAACGTGGCAATTAAAAAAACTGGTACGTATTATAAATAAATAAATAAAGTATAAATAAATAAAGTATAGTATAATAAATAAAGTACGTATAAATAGATAAATAAAGAGCCAAGAGGAGAAATTTGGAGCTTTTCCACCTCTGTGGACAACTGAGTTCTTCCATAAAATTTTTTTTTGGTTTTTCAAAATATTTAAAATGTTGTAAATACATTTTCGAACCCATTTGCAGTTTGTTTATTTGCGATTAATTGCAGTTAGTTATGGAAAACACGCCAGTGTGTGCACATGTTTTAAATGTGATTATTTGAAAGCTTAACGGCTTGGCAGGATAATTGCGCCATTTATTTTGCCAATTTTTACGGATTAACTGCGATTAATTGCAGTTAGTTATCGATAACACGCTTATTAGCCGGCCAGTGTGTGCGCATGCTTTAAATGTAATTAATTGAAAACTTAACGGCTTGGCGGGATAAATGCGCCATTTATTTAGCCAATTTTTAGTGATTTGCCATGTCGGAGCCTGGCTATCGAAGTAAGCATACGCTGCGCCTGGCCGAGATGCGGCCCCACATGACGAGCTTTGCCACCGTGGCGCTGATCATTGCCAAGTCGGAGCCGAATGTGTTTCTGGACAAGCTGAGCAGCGAGCAGCGCGGCGTGATTTGCTTGACGTTGCGCGACTCCCGGTTGCACATAGCCAACTGCAAGTGCTGGGGCAGCAAGGCCTGCGTGGAGGAGTACACGGCCATGCTGCAAATAGGCGACGTCGTGGACATTGTCGGCGCCAAGGTGATGGCCATAACGCCCCCGAATATGCCCGGACTCACCGAGCAGCAGCATCGCTATCAGCCGCGCGGCACGCTCTCCTGTGCGCTGGTCATCAACGAGGGGCACGGCTATGTGGTGAGGCACAACGACGACGACGCATCCGTTCTGCAGCCGCTGCGCCAGCTCATCCATGCGCCGCACAAGCCGCTGAGCAGCGCTCTCAAGCTGGCGGATGTGCGCTGTGCCGCGCCAGGCGCCGAACAGCGCCCGCCCGTATACGTGGATCTGCTTGTCGCGGTGGCCGCAGTGCGTCCGGTGCGTGAGCTGAAGCGCAAGCTGGCGGCAGGCAATGCTGTTGGCAATGGCGCGGCGCGGCTGCTGCACTGCCTCGAGCTGGTGGTGTTCGATAGCAGCTGTGCCGACGGCATGGTATTCACGCTCTGGCACCCGGATTGGATACGTCGCGCACAGTACTGGCAGCCGCGCAAGACGCTGCTGCACCTGATCGATGTGCGGCTCTCGCATTCCCAGTTCCATGGCTGTCCAGTGCTCAGTCTTGCCAGCTGCACGCTCATCTATGAGCAGCCGCTGCCGCAGAGCGCGGAATGCCAGGCGCTGCTCCAGTTTGCCGCCAGCACGCCGCTCCAGACCTATGATATATTCGCGCAAACGGACTTGGAGCAGCTGCCAGCAGGTGAGCAGGGCCTGAAAATTGATCATGCTAATTCTGATAATCTCTTCCGCCTTGTGCCGTCAGCTGAACACATCCAGACGCAGATGAGCGTGCAGCAGATCTATGCGCGCGCCGAGGGCGAGCTGCAGGATGCGACCAGCGAACACTTTACGGCCGTGCTCTATGCCCTGGTCAGCAAGTTCGATCTGGACGGCCTGGCCGCCAGCATCAGCAAGAAATGGCAAGTAGCGGGTTGTGTTACCTATTGATAATTGTGAGCCTCCCGTCTCCCAGCAGCAAGGCGTGCCACAGGCTCATCCCGAACAGTCGCAGCGACTGCGACAACGAGAGCTGCCTGCTGGAGTTCTCGTTGGGCCACAGCGGCGCACGCATCGAGCACTTCTTCAACATCAACATACACTTGTCCGATCAGACGGGCACGCTGCTCGAGACGCGTCTCAGCGGCGGCGTCGCCGAGCATTTGCTCGGCCTCAAAGCGGATGCCTTTCTGCAGCTGTCCGAGCGCAAGAAGACGGAGCTGAAATGGCGCTTCCTCTTGAAATACTTTGAAGTCAAATTGCTGGTGAGGAAGCCAGCGGCAATGCGCAAGAATCTGGCCGTTATCGTCGTGGACATGGAGCTCATTTCGCTGGCGAGGCTCATCGAGAAGATAACCGTGTTTTGACCAGGAGAGGCTATGGAGGCGACAAGGCTAATATATGACAAAATATTTGTCACATATTAGTTAATACAAAGTAGTTATCGTCTTTTAACATATTTAAATTAAGTCCTTATTTATATATCTTATAGCTGCGTTGTCATAAAGAGCTGAAGAAAACTTAACTTAAGTTAAACAATATACAAAATAATGTTAGATCTACATATAAGGCTATCATAAATACAAACAAAGTAAATTAAGGAAAACGATGTGTCTTAAAAAAAACAGTATTGAAAAGCAAACTGTCTCATAAAATAAGTTAAATTAAATAATGCTAAAAAGAACGACAAATTGAAAGTCTATTAGACATATCTTCTAATAATCTAATCAGATAACAACTAAGTAAGGCTTGAAGCCGTAAATAATAACTTATCTTAAGATTCAAATTAATTAACATTCCTGAATATGTTAAATACAATAATTATCATTGGAGGGTTTCATGAAAAACAATCTCGTAAAGTAACTTGTAAAAGCCAAAACCAAAGTCTATTAAATGTATCTACAAATAGCTTTGGGATTAGCTCTGTAATTGAGTATATCTGTAATCTGAAATTGAAGAAGTATTGAAGTTATGTTTCAAATGTTTATCTAACTAGTAAAAGTTATCATAAAACAATCTCTTTTTTGTAATAATTTATAAAATTGTTTATTTTGTATTTAATAACAACTTATTTGTTGTAAAAAGCTTAATGAAGGCGTTGTGATTCTCTTAGGAGATAACTTAATTCAAGTTGAAAAGCAATATTTTTAAATTTAAATAATATCTCTAAAGAACATATCTTCAAAAAGCTTAAGTTAGTTTTAGGTCAGCAATGGAATATATATCTGTCTCCTATATTAACCAAATTTAGGGTCAAGTTAACAGCTATGATTTTTTGATCTTTTTGAATATTTAACCAAAATTGTACCAAATGTACCGTCGAGTTGGCAGAGAGTTTAGATCCTGGTATTATAATAGACCAAAACTTATGACTTAGGTTCGTGATATTTACGAAAACTAATATAACTCTATGTTAAAGTATAGATCAGAGCAGGAGAGAGCTGTCTTTTGTACTAGCTCCTTATAGACTATTATATTATGGCCAAAGTAAAGCTTGAGGTGTGCAGAAGATTGCGTCTTATAACAACTAAGACTTTACTGAATAGAAGATGAAATCCAAGAACAGAAGAGAGAGAGAGGGAAAAGACAGAAAGAGAGAGAGGGAGATCTACATAAATAGCATCTTTATTTCGCTTGGGTCTGTTGTTAATATTGTTTACACATAAAACGTTGCAACTGCAATATATATATATATATAAATAGTTATACAATCCAATAGAATACAATACAATACAATACAGTGCAAAGTGTCGAGACAATGTTTTATGCTACTATTTGGTTTATCTAAATTACATAGGCGCTTAAACGAGTACTTTGAAAATGAACTACATTTTGTAAACAATTACAATTTTTCGTATATTTGTTTGTTGTGTTTTTTTTTTGGTGCTGTTTACTTGCTAAGATCACAATAATTCGACTCCGGTTAATTACAATGCGACAATCGGCACCAACAAATTTGCGTGTATCTTTGCTCTGTTTATGGGTTAAGTTTTCTTAAGTTGTGGGAATGTGATCCAAATGGAACAATTTGGTAACGCTTAATACTGTAACTACGCAAAAAAACAATACGAATATCTATAATATAGAATATCATCATATGCTAAAAATATAACAAAACGCATTTCGCTAAACTACAAACAAAACAAACAACAAATCGTTGAAGGAAAGGCGTGAAAATGTAACAGCTTAAGGATGTGCATTTAGCAGTAGGTTAGCAGCTAGAAAGTTTTGCAGCTTTTTTGTACAGGGTCAGTTATTTGTTAATCCTAAACTCACAATTAACTCTAGGAAAACAAAATAGTATTATAGAAAGAGAGCCATGCTCTAGAGCGAGCCGGACATAGAGTTAGAGCGAGAGAGCGCTAGATAGCATTAAAAACATTTGCAACTTATACGATAAGATAAAAAAGAAATGTTAATACAATAATAAAAGAAGAGTGGCTCGTCTCTACTTGGAGCCCGTCGAATGATGATGCGGCGCCTGATGCAGATGCGTTTGCTGTCCGGAGCTTTGGTGATACGGCGACTGCTGCGGCGGCGGCTGATGGTAATGCTCCTTGGGATGCGTTGAGCTGCTGCCGGCGGCGGTTGACAATGCTGCAGCAGAGCTCTGATGATGGCCGGCATGATTCGAGCTGCTGCTGCTGCTGCTATTGTGACTATTGTAGTTGAGTTGAGGCAGTGCAGCGACGGTGGCCAGTGCGGCGGCAGCCGAGGCAGCTGCCACACCGGCGGTGGCAGTGTTCAATTTGCCACTGCCGCCGCTGTTGTTGACCCTCAGCTGACGTATTTCGGGAAAGAACTCGATCATCAAGATCTCGAGCAGCTCCTGCAAGGGCAAAAGCAAAAGCAAAACGTTATCAAAAGCTAGTTGGCGAATTGTCCGCTTTATCAACTCACATAGAACAGCTGCTTGTTGTACGCGGGATTCTGCAGGGCATCAAAGACCTTGAGGACGCCGCGCTTGGCGGCCTGGGCGCCAACGAGATTGCACAGCACTTCGGGTATGTGATCCGTGAGCAGCGCCTTGGCCGCATTGGTGGTCATCTCCTTCATATCATCGGAGCGTACCGGATAGGCGGAGGCCAGTACGCCGCCGGGCCAAAACGATTTCAATATGGCCGAAAAGTAATTGTGCAGCATGGACTCCTCGAAGAGGTAGGTGACAGATTCGCGGATTTGCCTATTGATGGTCCGGCCGTAGGTGATCTGCACGAACGAGATGATGCTCTTGCGCAGCCACTTGAAGACGCCGCCCATGTCGAAAATTTCGCCCATTAGCGCATAGAGCGGCTCCGCAATGGAGTCTTTGCTATCCAAATCGGCCAGCAGCTTGGCATCGCTGCTCGTCTCGCCATCCAGATAGTTGGACATGTCGTCATCGTCGCGCTGCAGGCCCCAGAACGGATCGCTGGCCTTGCTCGAGTCGTGCGCCTTGGCCGCGTCGCTTTTGAAGAGCGTCGATAGCGAGAATTTGGATTTTTTTGGCGAGGGCAGAGTCTGCTTCAAATGATCCGAGCTGGGGCTAAGAAACGTATAGATGGCCTCGCTGCCATTCAAATGGTCATCCTCCAGTATAAACTGTGTCACATGGACAGCACGATTAGCACAAATTTTTAGATATATAAATGTGTGTTTACATACATTCAAAAACTTTTGTATTTGACCCTTGGCCTTCTCCTGTGCATGCCGATCGGTCTTCAAGAAGAAGAACTTAAAGTTCGTCGGCAAATCGAGCGACTTCAAATTGGAGCTCACATGCCGCAGTTTACGTTGCAGCTCCTGAAATAAACGGATTGTCGGGTTTAATAGCGATCCACTGTGTGTCTGTTTGTGCGCTCACTTACGTGCACTTGGTTGAGGGAACGCATGACAACCCAGCCGCTGGATATGCCCGAGGGACGACGCCTCTGAGCTCGGCCCGTGCTGCTCTCGCCATTCTTCGTGGCTGGCGGCGCATTGATATCCTCGTCCACGTGCACTAGGATCATGAACTGCAGCGATTCCTTCTCATCGGACACCTGAAAGAGAGACACCAAATCGATTTGAAAAGCATGAGCAGGAAGTTTTTGCGCAATTGTGAACGCACCTCAACGCTCTGTATGGTGGCCTTCCATTTGCCGAGATGCTCGGTCCAGGCATCGGTGCGTCTTAAATGGGCCTCCGTTTGACGCTTCTCGCTCTTGAGCCAATCCATTTCCTTTTCGAGTATTTGCAGCACCTTCGACTCCGGCTTGACCGAGTATTTGAGTGCATCCAGCGCTTGGTTCTTCTTGTCGATGCGCTCCTGTATTTGCTCCAGCTTCCTGCGCGCATACGATGTGTGAGCGGCGACATCGATGGCAGCCGGAGCACCGCCAGCGCCATTGAGGCCATCGGCGACAATCGCCTGCTCGTCGTCGTTCGAATCGCCGAGCATGGTGGGGCACATCAGCAGGGTGGGATCGTTAAATTCGTTCGAGTCGAGCGCCTCCTTGAGCTGGCGATACTGATCGCTTAGCACAAACGGTGGATAGTATTTGTCCTCGAGTGTGCGCAATATATTGCGCTGTATATCATAGAAAATATCTGGACCCGCATCGCCCAGGACGAAGGTCTCGATTAGCTTGCGCTCATGCTTATCGATTTGTATCTCCGGCTTGGGCACGCGTATGTACGTATAAAAGATCTCTGTGCCCAGCTGATGTGTGGCCGATTTGTGCGCATGCTTCATCTCATCGACGGCCAGGTAGAAGCCAACCAGGGCGCTGGCCTTGAGCGGCTCCAGGAACAGCGTAAAATAGCGTCGTCCCACTGCCGTATTGAGTATCTCCAACAGCGTTAGATCCTGAAATAGACCAAATGTTAACATGTTTTTTTTTGTTATAGATCGGAATAATATGCGTTTACTGTGTCGCTGGAGTAGTTGCCATTCCAGCCAAACTTGGCCAGATTCTTCTCGCACTGACCCTTGGCCAGCGAGAGCTGCTGCACGTAACGCTTCAGCCGCACCGCGGCGGTTAGCTCCGATTTGGTTAGCGTATGATCCTCGGTATCCGGATCGAGGCCTTTGGCACGTTGCAAATTCTGCATGCTGGTCGCGTGCATCAGATCATTGACAATGCTTTTGCGTATTAGCGACAGCTCCTCCAGGTTGCCCGAATTGTTGATGATCTTCAGGAATTCCTCAAAGCTGGCAGCGTACTCATAGCTGCGCTTACTAATCGCCGCCGCCGCCAGACGCGTCTCAATGTTCTGCACAACCTTCTGATTGATATAGTCCGGTGCGGTCAGCATTTTGATCATCGGAAAGAAGACTACCAGGAAGGAATGAGGAAAGTTTCGATTATCTCAGGAGGAGGAGGAGTATTTCAAATTGGCTAACTTACTCTTGAAGGAGAGTATCTCGCTGAGCAGCACCTTGAGCGGGGGCAGTGAGTAGCCGCGCGGCAGCAGCAATATGATCATAATCTCGCACAGCTTGCGCAGAAACTCCATTTCCTTTTCCTCATCGACCAGGTACGAATTGGTGCTGAACACCGGAGCGCTATTTGTTTCGGCCCTGCAATAGTTGCAATTCGAAATTAGGATACAATTTGGAGTCGTTTGCAATGGGAAGTAATTTGAACTTACGCGCGCGACTCGGCAATGCGTATCTTTTCGAGATGCACCGTGACGCGATTGACCATGTCGACGGCTATGATCTTGGCTGGATCCATTTTGGCGGCACGTTCGTGTATCTTCTGTATGGCATTCCACAGATCCTCGCGTATCACATCGTTGATAAGCTTTGGCTTTGTCACAACATATCTGAAAAAAATGGACATCAAATCAGATTGGATTGGATAAGGATTTGGTTGAAATCTATTGATACCTACCCCAGCCAGGGCACCATAAAGTCACGCAGGACATACTCGATGATCTGCTGCAGCTGCAGATCAACTGTCTTGCCAAAGATTAAGGGTAAATTCGAAGGATTCTTAATGGGATTTGGCAAATCGAAGATGTTGCACCTGCATTATGAGAAAGCATATATGAGAATATGGCACGCGCGTAACGTTGCTTGGACGGGGGATACTTACTTGGTGGCATTGTAGAGCAGCTTGGAGGGATGTCGATTTGGCTTTGTGGGCTCATTGGTCGTAAATATATAATGGATATAGACGGTGCCAGCGACAGCTGTTGGGACGGCCAAAGGGTTACACAATCAAAAAGTCAAAACCGTAAGAGATAACTAGTCGGATGCCCGACTAGAAGATACCCTGCACCCAGCTTCAGGCAAGTGCTTGTTGTCCGATCTCTATCAATGGAACCGTTGGGAAGCTATTCAAATTTGTTCCTGATATCGATTGTTATCGATTTCTTGGAAACGGTACAAGGCCTGGGATATCCTTTGAGTGGGACGCGTTAAGACTTAAGCTCAAAAATATATATATGTAGATACTTTAAGGGATCGGGTAGGTATGCCTCGTTCTGTTCGTTCATCATACCCTTTAACGCATATTCAATGGGTTCAGGGTATAGAAACCGATTAAAGATAAATTTTTAATTAACGATTTTAGTGGAATATCAAAGACATATTTATATATTATATATATATATGGAATATGACCGCAAGCAGATAAGAAATGAGTCATGAGCAGATTACGTATATCCATCGATTTGCTTGGTGTAACTGATAACTCTGGGAGTATTCTCGACTCACCTGCAAAGACCAGCACCAGGGAATAGATGACGAACGCGAAGAATAGAAAAAATGTTGGATAATACCAAATAACGGCCAAAAGCGTCGATGCGATGCCCGAAATGATAATCTTCCAGTTTAATTGCAGCGCACGTAGCGAGCTGAAAAAAACAAAAAAAAAAAAAAAAAAAACACATATACTAGGAAATTGAAAGCAAATACCATGATGAGCAAGTGTGGGCAGGAAGCACGGTGATTCTATAAATAATAATGACAAACACCCCCCACCCCACCCCACCCCACCACAACCCTGCATTATGCATTCACCACTTGGACGGCACGCACACATACATATGCATTAACGTAAAGGATACACACACACGAGACACGCATCTAAAGTTAATGCAGCGTCTCCACTTACCGCGTTGCCAGCAGCGTTAGGCGCTGTGTGGGCGTTGTTGGCGGCTCTGGTTCGATGGGAAACAATGGGCGGCGTCGCTCCATAACGGCCAGCTGTTTCACTACGCTCCTTCAGTGTGTGTGTGTGCGTGAGTGTTGTCGTGTGTGTGTGTGTGTGTGTGTGTGTGTGTGTGTGCTGGGCTAGTGGCTTACAATAACTGTTATTATTGCTGTTGTCGCTTCTGCTTTTTTGTATTTGAATAGTTGATGCGTTTTGTACATTTTTGACGTAGTCGCGACGCGCTTCTTGTTTCTTGCTTAATTTGTAGCTCTTGTTGTGGCTTTTGTCATGTCGTCTGGGCCAGGCCACTATTAAAAATAGTTCTCTATAACCACTTCCGCCACCCCCGCGCCCACGCCGTCACGCCGTAAACGGTACGCCCAACGCCCTTGCGCCTTAATGTCCGAAAAGTGACGTCGTTGTCGTCGTTGAAGCACTTTAATTTGATCTTGGTATATGGGTTCAGGGATCATACAGCATCTGCGTCTCTTTTATGGCAACAAGTTGACATTGACAACCGCCGAAGGGGCGGCGCGGCTAACGATAAATGATAAGAGCGGCGCAGCGACTGCTGCCTGCAGCTCTGCATCCATAAAATCGTTGCGGCTGTGGCTGCTTGTTTTTGTTGTGTTTGTTGTCGTTGTTGTTGTTGTTGTTGTTGCCAGTGCTGCGTAGATAATAACAAATTGGAATTTGACTTGGCGCGTTCGATTGGTGGTCAAGCGGCGTAAGCGTAATTATTCATAGCACGGCGTTCACTTCCACTTTCAATCACAATCACAAATACAATAAATGCAAAATCAAAGTTCCCGACTGTATTGGTGCCATTGGATTTGTTGATTTCGTATCGATAACGATAATATGGATAATGTATTGCAGCTTCGGCTCGATAGACTGAAAAACTAATCGACTGGCCGCCACTCGACCGATAAGTTTAGCAGCGTTTAAATAAAACACGACCGTTAAGTTAAAAAGTCTCCAATTTATTTCTGTTGCAAAACTAACAATACTTAATCGAATTTGAAAACATTTGCTTAGTTATTGGTATTGGTATAAGTTGCTTGTTCTAAATATATATACATGTATGTATATATATATATATATGCACATCTGGCAGGCATCATTTAGCATATAGTACGCGTGCCCCCCTCCCCTTTCGAGACGTTGCGTTTTTCCCCCGTCACCAAAACCGTTCCCAACCCAATCAAACCGTTCACAGACTCTAAATGGCATCAAAGTTTGCACACTTTTGGATTTGATGATATTGTGATAGCTATTGCTCCTTAGCCAGGCGCCGCAGGGCACGCTTGCGTGTACCTAAAATATTCTTAAGCACTTCGTTTCTGGCAAACTGTTCACCGAACACGGCCTCTGTAAAATGTATGACCAATTGAAGCAATGCATGTGGTAGATATCCAGCGGTTTGTGTGGCAATGCCGAGTGTGGCCAATGCGGATTTTACATACGTTTCGGGCGAGGGCGCAAACACGCTCGGCTTACGTATCTTGGACATGTTCGTGGCAACAAAGCCCGGCTGCACACTCTGTATAATAATGCCATGCGTTTTGTATTCCGTCTGCAGATCATCGCTGAACTTGTTCACAAATGCCTGCAAAGCACAAAGAAACCCAAATTAATAAATGTCGATTTCCATAAGGTGAATGAGATGAGATGGATTAAGCGCGTCGTCCGTTTGCTCACCTTTGTGGCGCTGTAGACGCTCAGCAAGGGATTGGGTATCACGCCCGCCGTTGATGACAGATTTATGATGACGCCCTTGCGCTTCTGCACCATGCCCGGCATAAAGAGGGCGGTCATGTGCGTTACGGAATGTATATTGGCAGCGACAATGTTGCGCAGAAACTTCGGATCCGCATTGTAGCAGTCCAGAAAGTATTCCGGATGGCTGTAGCTGATGCCCACATTGTTCACCAGCACGCCCACGTCCAGGCCGGCAGTTTCCGTGCGTATCTTCTCATAGATATCCGCGCCGCCCGTGAAGTCCACATCGATGATGCGCACCTCCACGCCGAACTCATCGCCTGGAAGTATGCCACACACAACCGCACATATCTATTAAAAGCCTGGCTTAAACGCGCAAATTCAGTTCTTACCAATTTCCTTGGCCACAGTCTTCAGCTTTTCCAACGAACGACTAATCAACACCAGCTTCAGGCCTTTGCGTGCCAGCTGCAAAGTTTTAAACAGGCGAGTTTTTAGCATAATGTAGTTTTTGTTTATATTTTAAAAGGATCCACAGATCCGACAAATACTTATCCACTCTTGGGCATACTTTAAGGCTGAACTTTTGATGTGGACGCCAAGCGAGGATTAGATTATGCCTTTTATCCCTGCCTAAGATTTTATATAGTATTTGATAGGAATTCGAATTTATATAACTGAACTCTTTTATAGTAAATTCTCCTCATATATGGGCTCTATTTGTTTATTATTACTGGATTACAAATGCTCTAGAAGTTCCAGATAGGTTGAAAGTTGAGGGGAAACATGAACACACAGAAACAAGCAGACAGATCGAACAAGTTCGAACTCGGTAAAGTTCTGTATTAAGCATGAGCCGAACCTTAACATGGATAAAGGGCTGTAAAAGGCTCGAACCGGGTTCACGAACCGAACCTCAAGGGGAAGCATGAATACACAGAAACAAGCAAACAGATCGAACAAGTTCGAACAAGTTCGAACTCGGTTAAATTCTGTATTAAGCATGAGCCGAACCCTAACATGGATATAGAGCTCAAGCCGGGCTTACGAACCGAACCTTAAAGGGAAGCATGCGAAGCGAAGCGTGATCCGAATTTGTAAATATTTATATTACAGTAAGTTTTCGATACCATAGAATGCCATACAACTTATTTAAGTTAAGAGCTGCATAAATTTTGTTCCTTTAGTCTCGCTCGCCAAATGGGAGGCGGATCAGATTCACAGAGTCGAGGTAAGACTGACCCTGACCAGCTAACCTAACCCCACTAATATACTAGAAATCCCTGGCTAAACAGGAGTCCAGCTGCTTTATGATCGCTAAAACTGTTAATTGGCCCACTGTACCGATGAAATGCACGAGAGACATTTCGTTATCAAAGAAACTTGGTAAACTTTCTGATAGTTAAAAGTGTGCGTTAATTTTGTAATATAGATAAGGATTGATTTATCGAACATTCCCCAGTTCTGCTCGGGCTAAAAAAAATTGAAAAAATGTATGCATAGAAGAAACTAATTGAATAACGAAACTGGACTTCTGGCGACCCCGCGACTACAGCACACGGCTGTACATTAGAGTTTAGTCGGGGCTCTTTAGTTTTTTAGCATACTCAAAAGCAAAAGCAAAAACAAAAGCCATTTGATAGCCACATCGAATGCTAATGACGAATGCTGAAGGAAAATGCCAAAGCCAGCAACGGAGCACGATCAAGTGTGTGGATCGATGGGCGGCATAGATATATCACAAGTCTTTATACGCTTGTGTGGGATATTATAATTTTGACCCTTAAACTATATATCTATAGATATTCTTGATCGGAATCCAACAGCCGCGTTGATATAGTCTTTGTTTTGCGTCGGTTCTACAGGAGTTCTATCTCACATGGGAGCGAGTTCTTATCAACAGCGGATTATCATATCTAAAGCAACTTATAGGGTATATTAGCTTCGGCGCGTTGAAGAACACGGCTCTTGTTTATATTGTTCGTGTGCAAAGTTCCGGGTAACTGAAAACAACAGCTGTTCCCCCTAGATTTGTATAGCCAACTGGACGTTGACACATGCAACCGAACCAGAAAATTTGCTGAATATCGCAATATCAACAGTTCTAGGGCTTGTGCAAACACACACACAACTCAATTCAAGTATATTTGCCGAACTGACAAAACTGACAAAACCGAAAGCTGTGTGTTGTGTTGGTTGCACTTAGCTGCTTAATGGATAATTAGCACTTGACTAAATTGCAATAGCGTGCATTAGCGTATAGAAAGCTAGAGGAGCTATAGCCTACAGTCCATCTAAGTATCTATATAAAGCTATGGAGCTCTAGAACTGGATGCACACAATGTTCAAGTCATGCGCTAATGTTTAGGGCCTAACTAAAAAATTCAATCGTTAATTGCACATTATCTCCTCTTCTTTTGTCCAATTGGTCAACGTCATTATGGATTTTGCAATGCAATGAATATAATAAATTAGAAAAAAAAATCTTTGCCAAGAAAACGAAAGAACTATTCATATATAAAAACTCAATCTACAAACGATTCTGCCTATGGCATTATATGATATAGTTGTCCGATGTTGTTGGAACCCGCAAATGTCAAGTATAGATAAGATCTATTGAAAAACAAAAATGTTCGACTATTGATACTGATCAAGAATATATATACACTATAGGGGCTCAGAAATGTCTCCTCACAGATTGTGATCAAATCATAATACCCTCTGCAATATAGAACGCGAGGAGCTCATTGCACTTCCTATGCACAGATGGAGATTATGGAATCTAGAATTGGAATTGGATTCGCCCTTCCGTATTTAGGTGCTGCGTGCGTCGTACATACCTCCCTGGCATAGGCCTTGCCAATGCCATCCGTGGAGCCGGTAACAACTGCAATATACGAATTATTATCAAGATGAGTAATGGGTAATGGGTTGACCCTTATCAGCTGTTGCTGTGGACGGAGCAAAGTTCAAATGCAGTGCACTTACCTGCCCATTCGCCCATCTCGGCCAGATTGACCGAGGAGCCGCACAGCCTGGGACCAATCACATTCGCATAGATCCACGGCAAGACCTTGCGGCAAATCTGAAAGCCCACAATGCTCATCGCAATGCCACCCAAAATGCTCAAAAGACGCGAATGCTCCTCCATTGCCGAACCAGTAAAAATTCCCCCTAAATTTTCCAGTAAACAAATGTCAAGACGAACAATTGCCGCTGCTGTCGTTGCTGTCGCTGCGGACTCCGTTGGCTGCCTGAATGCTTGTCGCTGGGAAGCTCGGTTGCTCGATTTGCTGCTGCCGCGGCTGTCGCTGTGGGCTGCGCTGCTGGCGTCGTCGATGTATTGGCTACTATGGGCTACGCTCTGCTCTGCTCTGCCCTCTCCGGCAGAGTTCGTCAATTGAATTTTATAAATTCACTGAATGTCTCTGGGCATTAAATTTGACGCGGGCTTCTCGCTGTTTAATATTCAAAAGCAGTTTACCGCGCGTGTTGCTGTTGTGCATAGAAAAAGGAGAGCGAAGAATTTTCTTTTTGATTTTGCCAGCTTTAATTATGGGCTGCGAGAAAATCTATGTATATGAAAATTTAAGAAATTACTGCATGAGATGTCAGTTGCGGCACGGAAAATTAAATGAACGGTTCTTTTTTGCCGACTGAGCATAATTGTGTGCGTCCGTTTGCATGTGTGCGTGTGTGTGTGTGTGTGTGTGTGTGTGTGCTCGGCTGCGAGTCGTGCTCTCACGATTTTTGGCTCGTCATATCGCACCACCACCACCGCCAATGGCAGCACTATGCGATAAGGGGGCACATGTGCTCGGCATATGCCACACAAACACACGCTCACACACACACACACACACACACATAACAGCGATGCTTGCTCTCAGTGAAATTGCACATGCGCAGGAAGAAGCCGCAGCAGCAGCAGCAGCAGCAGTACCTCAAATTAAACCGATGACGATATTTTTTGGCGCGCTCAAATGCGAATTTGATTTTCTGTGTGTGCGTGTGTGTGTTTCGCTGTTCGAATTTTGGCGAGCACTTATCGAATAGAGTTCTGTATAGTTGTTTGTTAGAAATGTTTGTGTTGCGCAACGGACAAAATGTCACAGAGCTTCCATGACAGCTAGCAAGGCGAGTCCTATGGTCAGTGTTGCTTAACTACAACAAAAGCACGCTAGATGGCGTAGCCGCTCATGCCAAGTGTTGCATACGTCTGGGCTGTGGTTAAATAATATAAGATATCCATTGAATATGATTACAATTATGTTATTTAAAAAAGGTTATTTAACTAGTTGCACATTTCGTTGTGATAAGTTGTTTTGCTTTGAATCGATTGCTGCAGTCTCTTCAGAGTTTGCAGGTCTGGCAACTCTGTGCAGTTGGCGCCACAGCAGCCCCTTGCGACCCAATCGCAGCCGTAGAGATAAAAAAACGAGGGACAACGAGCAGAAGCAACTGGCAGAACAACGCGTTATTGGCAAACGGGATACGAGTCCTGGTCTCCGTCAGTCTCGTGTCAATTGCGTGCGTACCAAGAACGTTGTCGGCACCGGCAAATGCGACATGGGCATAGATATTATGATATCATTAAATGTGAGCAATTCCGAGTGAAAATATGAAAACAAGCAATTATTTGATTTTGTGTTTTTCAATTGTTGTCTGCTCAACTAAAAATAATATTAAAAGCCAGCCAGTTGGTCTGTAAATATATTTGTTTTGTTTTGTTTTTTTTCGAGAGTGCTTTAACATGTTTAACTTTTGCAGTCTGAACAAAGAATTTGCATAAAATATGTTCACATACGTGTAAATGTCATAAACTGGCAATCAAATGTTTCATATCGAGAATCGTGAGAATCTTGAGAGCCCATTAAATGCTGCTGCTGCTGCTGCGGCCTTCTCTGATTGGAGCAGCTTTAGATAGGCCCAAAAAGAGCAGAGCGCCGAGCAGAGTGCCATGCGCACAACGCATCCTGACCTACATTCCGATTATTGGTCATCTAAGCAGCAGCCAAGTAGTTCCCAAAACGAAGATAAATACAAAAAAATACACACGCACCACACACTCCATAAACTGTTGGAAGCTACCTAATAAACGTTTTCTCGTCCTTCGCACAGTGAATCGTTATCAATCGACGCAAAAAGCGAATCAATCCGAGAAACGAGACTCCAATATGGTTAGCTGCAAGCTATAAGGAATTCGATTCCGATTCCGTTGCATTCACAGCTATTCACGGGCAAAGAAACCAAGAAGAAGAAGAAGCAGCGCAAGAAGTAAAGAGAGAGAGAGAGAGAGAAAAACTTAAACAGTTTTCTGTGCATTTTTGATAGCCTTTGAAGCTATTCAAAAGATGTTGCTGATTAGCTAAAAGCCAAAGGGACCGAGAGAAAAGTACAACAGCAATTTAATTGGGATTCGAGTACATTGTAATCGTATGCTGCGGTGAGTTGTTTTTTTTTTGGTGACTTGATTCATATCGTATGCAGTTGGTATATGGGAACACTTGCAGTGATGAAATCCCGATTATTTTGGATATTTGCAATAATATACTCGTCGCTACATCAGATAGGTTCCGGATCCACCTCGACGACATGTAAGTATTTGATTTGAGTTCCCTGCCCATTCGAACTGATCTCTAATTATCGTTAATCTGCCATCAATTAAACTTGCTTTAGTTGCTTTGCTTTGGCAATCAATCAGATATCTTCTATATCTTCTTCTACATCTCTGCTACATCGAAAGCAAAGTTTTTCTGTGCAAAACCTCATTTATTTTTGGAATATGACTTACTTTTTGGAAATGAACTTTATGTTAGAGACACATATTCGATTTTGGCTGCAATTAGGTTACTCGGAGAGTTCCAAACATAATATTACAAGTATTGCCAAGCCTTTAATATTCGTTAACTTTCATACCAGACTTCATTCCATTTTCTAAAGTTGGTTAACACGATTTTATTAATTGGCGTCCATTTTCCATCTAAAACTCATCGACATAAATTTCAACAAAGATCAAAAACCCAAGACAGCTTTCCATCAATTTTCCACCCTTACGTGTGAATTTTGTCAAAGCATTGATTTGAATGACAAAAGCTGACTGCTATGACAATGCCAGCTTCATAGCGCTTAGAGTTTGGCTTGTGTGTTCATCAGTCAATCAGTCAATCAATCAATCAGTCAATCAGTCAATCGATCAGTCAATCAGTCAGTCAATGAATCAGTCAATCAATCAGTCAATCAGTCAGTCAATGAATCAGTCAATCAATTAGTCAATCAATCAGTCAATCAATCGGTCAGTCAATCAATCAATCAGTCAGTCAATCAATTAGTCAGTCAGTCAATCAATTAGTCAATCAATCCGTCAATCAATCGATCAATCAATCAGTCAGTCCGTAGAATAATGTAGTGAGCCCCAGATATTTGCAGTTTTCACACATTTTCTCACATTTTCAACGCTAACAGTGAAACGTATCAATCAACCAACCAATCAATTAGTCAATCAATCAGTCAATCAGTCAGCCAATGAATTAGTCAATCAATCAGTCAATTAATCAGTCAATCAATCAGTCAATCATTTAGTCAGTCAGTCAGTGAGTCCGAAGAATAATGTAGTGAGCCCCAGATATTTGCAGTTTTCACACATTTTCTCACATTTTCAACGCTAACAGTGAAACGTATCAATCAACCAATCAATCAGTCAATTAATCCGTCAATCAATCAATCAATCAATTAGTCAATCAATTAGTCAATCAATTAGTCAATCAATCAGTCAATCAATCAATCAGTCAATCAATCAGTCAGTCAGTGAGTCAGGAGAATAATGTAGTGAGCGCCAGATATTTGCAGTTTTCACACATTTTCTCACATTTTCTCACATTTTCTCCCATTTCCAACGCTTATAGTGAAACGTCCCCGAGCTGGAGATCCGTTTGATACGTTCCCGAAAAACTTCTGGCAAGAGTTCTCATCGCCGTTCACAGACACGCCCGAAGATGAAGAGCTGGAGGTTACCGAGACGACAACGCACGAGCCATTCCCATTTTTCGCCGATCCGTATACGACCATCAATATAAGCACCCAGCTATCGTCGAGCGTCTATCTGCACTGTCGGGTCAATGACCTGCAGGGAAAGACGGTCTCGTGGATGCGACGCAAGGGCGAGGACCTGACCCTGATCACATTTGGCCAGCACACATATAGCGGCGATTCGCGTTACTCGCTGGAGTTCGAGGAGCCCAACGACTGGAAACTCTTGATACAATATGCCAACGAGCGCGACGAGGGCCCCTACGAATGCCAGGTCTCCTCGCATCCGCCATTGGTGCTCCTCGTCTACCTAACTATAATTGGTAAGGATTTAGTTCTCTAGTCTAGTCTCCAGGCCGAACTCTTATGAATTGTTGTTGCAGTTCCTCATGTGGAAATTCTCGATGAGCGAGGATCGGCCACGCCGGAAAAGTACTACAAGGCTGGCAGCACAATTGAGTTGCAGTGCGTCATCTCCAAGATACCGCATCCAACGTCATATATCACCTGGCGCCATGGTCAACGTTTGCTCAATTACGATACCAGTCGCGGTGGCATTAGGTAAATGACCCAACCGATATCCGGTTCGAACCAGCGTCTAGCCTTTACGGTTCGACTCAGTTTTAAGAGAATGTTGGCCCAGCGGATTCGAACCGGCTTGCTTCTGAGTTGCCTTACTCCCATGATCCCAACTTATATACAAACTCGAATAAACATCATTTTTATTTTTCTCCTTACACAGCGTTAAGACAGACATGCTGCCCGGCAGGGCCTTGAGTCGTCTCTATATAGCCAATGCGAATCGCCATGACACCGGAAACTATACCTGTATGCTGGGCAATGAGATAACGGAAACGGTTGTTGTGCATGTGCTTAATGGTAAGTCAAGAAACAGCTCGAAAAGCCAAGAAACGTTCAGATAAGCTGAACTGCATGTCAAAATTTATCAGCCAGTTTATTTAGCTGACAAGAGTATCGAACAATGTTGCCACATATGTTGAGCAGCTGGCAGCACTAAACAGTGTTGTTAAACAGTTAACAGTCTGTCGCCTGACAAAGCGTTGCCACCCAGCTAAAGAAAGCGGCTAACATGAACTTTGCCAGGAGCATGCATGAAACGCGACTTAGTACATATTTATATGAAAGAATTTATTGGCAATGTGTTGCATAAAACAGTTGTTGTTTGTTCCAGGTGAAGAGCCAGCTGCAATGCAACATGCGAATGGGACTCGATTTATATCCAGCCCCCTAACTATGGTTGTGTTTTTTTTCGTATTCGCGATAGTCAAACCATTTCAGCGATGACAACATTGTGAATGGCCTATAAAACTATGAAAAAAAAAAAAGAAAAACTTTAATATACTTCGAAGAAGTGAAAGCGACAGAAGTATTATAGGGGAAATGCATAAGCCAAAATATGAATCTTGTCCAGGATTGCATTTTCAACTTTTACTCGAATCATGGGTTGTTTACAAATTAAATCTATAGCATAATTGAATACTAATTGTAAGTCGAAGAGAAACGTGTGTATTTAAACAAAACCAAAAGGGCCGCATCACAACTAAATACAAAAAGGTCGTAAATAAGGGCGTACCAAGGAAGGAGCAAACCGAAAAAAGAGAAAAACTAACCTAACCTACAAATTGAGTTTTGCAATTAGAAATTGAATGTGAACACAACCTAAATTGTACAACAAGGGCCGTGTTTTTTGTTGGCTAACGTACCCCCTACCACCCTCCCGCCCTCCCTGCCTCCCTATACGTAGATAATGCCTCATGTTAATGGTTGTAGCTTCTTGAAATCGAACGGCATATCAGTTGGGATCATTGGAACATTTTTGGCTGCAATTAGTTATAAACGAATCATATTAAAGTTATAAGTAAGCCCCAATTTACTTTAAGTTATCGGTAAACGGAAACCAAACAAAAAAAAACAACAAATTATAAATTGATAAAATATATTTTGATTTTTATTGAGCAGCCCGTCTTCTAGATATACCACATAGATGTGCGTACTTAAATAGTTGTTATCCTCATATTTACACCAAGCGAAAAACCAAACAAGTAAGAGGTTCTAGTCGGGAGCTCCCGACTAGGGGATACCCTGCACCCTCTTCTTCCAACAGGCGATACGTATAAATAGAAAGATACTTGATATATATATACTAGCTCATATTATTTGCCGGAATTGCTCAAAAAACAGGATTTCGATACCGATTTTTATCGATTACTTGGGAACGGGGCAAGCTATCGAATATCGGAAACAAACTCGATCTGCGCGGGCACTAGGAGGACCTACAGCTAAAATTTGCAAGTCTCTGGCTCTTATAGGTTCTGAGATCCTTGCGTTCATACATACGGACAGACGCATAGACGGACGGACGGACGGACGGACGGACGGACGGACATGGCTAAGTCGACTCGTCTATTGATGCTGATCAAGAATATATATACTTCCTTCTGCCTGTTACATACATTTGCACAAATACATAATACCCTTTTTACCCATTTTCAATGGGTGCAGGGTATAAAACAAGAGAAACAAACATCATTATGCCATTCAAAATGGATACATATCCTTTAATTGAACAAATTGTCGGTACTTCGGTGAACATCCTTGGCCAGACCTACATAGTACATATGTGGTAGCTCTTGCTCTTGCTGGCAACCAGATAACCGAGTATTGCGAATTATTACGGACCAATCGGTAAATTCAGAATGATTTCATCCCCTCCCTCCCTACACATTTCTTTGATTGGGGCATTATATGTCTGATTTGGTATATATAGAACAAATTTCTAATGTGCTTTGAACCCGCTTGCATCATTATTGTTGTCACATTCATATATGTATACCTAAATCTATTCTTTTTTTTACTCCCAATTTCTAAACATATACTAAGAAATCGAAAATCGAAAATCAAAACAAACAAAAACTTAAAGCTCAGCTTAAACTACACAAAATTAAATGTTAAGGATAAAAGAAAAAAAAAAGAAAAGAAAAGATAAGAAAAAGAAACTCGGCTAATTTCGAATGGTCCACAGTAGTTATTGTAAATTATTCAATTGATCCCAACCAAAACGGCGGGTTGGTTCATTATGGTGTATGCCCTTAAATACAAAACAAATGTTGGAGTGAGATAACGAAACAATACTTAGAGACTAAAGAAAAGTGTGACGAAACTTTTAGAAGCATTTTGGTTACAGAAAAAATATTTAAGAATTATTACAAATAATTGATATTATGATAACTATAATAAATATTTATGTATGCGGCCAATGTCAATGTCAATGTCAAATGCCGTCATTAATATAATAATGCAGAAATTGTATAAGCCACACAGACACACACACACACACACACACACTCACACACACACTCACACATTTGTTTTTTCTATTAAAAAAAAATAAGGAAAACTTAAATTCGATTTATGTAGTTTTCATTTACAATGCAGAACCAAATAAAGAATCTATATGTATTTGAATTGTATTCAAATAGTCGTTAAATTATCGTAAGCTTTCTTCTTATCGATAACTTGTGATTTGTTTCGCTGCAGCAACGATATATTTAAGGATTCCAACGATTGTACTCAACCGATAGGTATCGTTAACATCGGTTTGATGTTGTGCTGATAACTTGCAGCGGCGCGAAATGTGAAAAGAGTATATTACATGTTTAATTGATTACGCAAAACAATTTTCGATTCAGCCTTAAATTTTTTACCATGTTCAAGTCAGTAAAATGCATACAATTTTCAATGGCTTATTCTCTTTTTAAAGGTGTTGCTATGTATGTTACAATCAATTTCATCGGACACAGTGTTAATTAATGCCAGAATAAAAGACTTGCAGCGCAACCTTGTAGTTTCGTGAGTGTCAACGATTAATCGATAGTTGCGGCAATGGCAATGCACTTTGCGTACGTTATCTTGTTAATATGCATTGACATGCCATATACATAGATAGGATGCACATGCATGTGCAGCAGGCACATGTATTTGTGACGTAGATAAAGAGCGTAACCTTATCCACAAGTCGCACGTGCTCGTCTAACGCTCATCTCTAATGTGTTGTATTGTAGCTGGATTCCAATTGGAAATTTGTTTTTAATGCTGCCCAAGCCAAAGAAGTACATAAGCTGTCTGTACGAACATTTCGGTCTGACCTCGTTTAAGCCGCTGCAATGGAAAGCGATTCGCGCCCTGATAGCACAGCCCCGCGGCGGGGATGTGTGCGCGGTAATAGCCACCGGCTATGGCAAATCGCTAACCTATCAGTTTCCCGCCTTTTATCTGAAGAAGGTGGTCGTTGTCATATCGCCGCTAATCGCGCTGATGGAGGACCAGGTGAACGCGCTGAATCAGAAGTCGAAGACGGGACCGTGCGCCTGTCTGCTGGGCACCGCCCAAGAGGATCGTGCCATCAAGGAGCGCATTTTGGCGCTGCAATTCAAATTGGTCTACGCAACGCCGGAGTATATAACCCGCGGCAATGGTTTGAAGATGTTGCGCGATCTCGGCCACAATCTGGCGCTGATTGCCATCGATGAGGCGCACTGCATCTCGAAGTGGGGCCACGAGTTTCGCCCCGCCTACCGCCAGCTCAGCCAGCTGCGTCTGGCTGTGCCCCAGGTGCGTCTCCTGGCGCTAACCGGCACCGCGACGCTGCGTGTGCGTCGCGACATCTGCGAGCAGCTGCAGATGCGCCGGCCGCAGCTGCTCTGCAGCGGCCTGGATCGACCCAATCTGGAGCTGACGGTGCGCCCGAAAGGCGCCAATCTTTGGTCCGATCTCCAGCCGTATCTGAGCTGGGCCGACGAAGCGGCCGGCGCCGTCATCATCTACAGCAACACCATACGCGAAACGGAGCACATGGCCCTGGAGCTGTGCCGGCGGGGCAAACGCTGCCACAGCTACCACAGCAAGCTGCCGCTCGAGCTGAAGCGCAGCAATCAGCAGGACTTTGCCAGCGATCTGGTACGCATCATGGCGGCGACGACAGCCTTCGGCCTGGGCATCGATAAGCCCAACGTGCGCCTCGTCGTCCACTATGGCGCGCCCAGCGACATGGAGCGCTACTATCAGGAGATCGGACGCGCCGGCCGTGACGGCCTCGCGGCCAAGTGTGTGCTCTTCTGCGGCGACACGGACGCCGCCACGCATCAGCGCCTGCAGCTGAGCCAGCCGCTGACGGCGCAGCGCAGCGAGGAGCTGCAGCAGCTGGCCCGCGCCATGCTCGAGTACACACAGACCAGCCAGTGCCGCCGGCAATATATACTCCGGTATTTCGATGATCAGGCCACGCTGGCCGCACTCCAAAGGCGGCACAATTGCTGCGACAATTGCCGCAAGGCGCGTCATCCGAAGGCGGCGCCGCCGCTCGATCCCAGCCAGCTGGATGTGAGCCGCGAATCGCAGCTGCTGCTGGCCATGCTGCGCGACGTTAACGGCCGCGTGGGCCTGGGCAGGCTGACGCTCGCCTTGCGCGGCTCCAGCAGCAAGCGCGTGCACAGCGATTGCCGCCGTCACGAGAACTTTGGCAGCGGCGCTCATCGTTCCAGTGTCTGGTACCGGGCTCTGGCCGAGCAGCTAAAGGCGACCGGCTACATCAAGGATGAGTTTCAGCGCAGCTCGAAGAGCGCCTTTGGCTTTCTGATGCCGCAGGTCACGCTCAAGGGCTGCTGCTGGCTGGACGAGGAGCCATCGAATCGCGAGCCCATCCACATTCTGGCCGGCTTCCGGCTGGCCAGGCTGCGGCAAACGTGCAACAAGAAACCATCAAAGGCTTCGCTAGACTGGGGCTCGGACATAGACCTCGATGAGCTGGACGAATCTGTGGCTTGTGCGGAGCAAACGTCGCTTTCGTCCAGCAACGATTCTGTTTGGGGTCCAGATCTGGACATTGACTTTCAGCAAATCGACGAGGCGGTCAACGCCCAATCCAATTCCAAAACCCAAACTGCGCCACCTGCGGCTCCTGGCCAGCACGAGCTGGCGTCCCTGCTCGCCGACTGCCAGAAGATCTTGCGCGAGGAGCAGGAGGAGAGCACGTGCACGCTCAAGGCGCGCAAGCGCGTCTGGCAATACCTGGAGGGCAGCTACCAAAAGCAACCCCTCATACCCAAGTACAAATACGGCGCAAGGCCGACCAAAACCAACTGACTACCATCTATATATATATAGATCCCAATCCTAATCTTAATTGTTACTAGATCAAATTTCTTGTTGAATTGTTTTCTTTAGCAACATTTTATTGAGGTACTTAAATAGGTACACACTTATAATTTACAACCAGCCTTTAATCAATTTACAAGCTGCTGTTAAAAATATTTCTATATATATATTTTGAAACATATTTTAGAAGATTAACAAAGTTGTTAAATAAGTTTTTTCGATATATTTGTTAAAGGAAAGTTTTCAAAAATATTTCCATATTATTTTGAATTTACAAGCAGCTGTTAAATAAATGTTCTATAAAATATTCCTAGTACTAATCCGAATTGTTACCATATATTTACTAGATCCAATATATTGAATTATTTTCCTTAGCAAAATCTTTTCGATGTACTTAAATAGTTACAATTATAAATTTACAACCAGCCTTTAATAAATTTACAAGCTGCTGTTAAAGAAATTTCTTCAAATTATTTCAATATATTTGTCAAATTGAAATTTGTCAAAGGAAACTTCTCAAAAATATTACCCTATTTTCTTTTAATTTTACAAGCAGCTGTTAAATAAATGTTTTATACAATATTTCCATTTGTACCTAGTGCTAATTCGAATTGTTGCCATATATTTAGTAGATCCAATATATAGAATTATTTTCCTTAGCAAAATATTTCGATGTACCTTAATAGCAACATTTATAATTTACAACCAGCCTTAAATAAATTTACAAGCTGCTGTTAAAAAAAGATTCTTTAAAATATTTCTTGATATATTTAGAAACATATTTTAGAAGCTTCGTATTAACCATCAGCTCTTCCATAAATATTCCATGTGCATTGAAAATATAAAAGAAAAATGTATTTTATACTTTAAAGGTTATAAATAATTTCAAGCACGTTTCAAATTCCAATATATAGTGAATGTGAGGTTAAGCCCGATGTTAAGTAATACAAGTGCATATACAAAGATCAAACAAAAGTTAAGTATAAGTATAATATAAGTTATATATCTGGTTAAATGGATATGGCTATAAATTTGTATATTGTTTGGGAGTTGTAAGGAGGGAAACGTCTACGATTGCAATCCATCGGCGGATTGATTATTGCCATCGGCAGTCGCTGGGCGAGATTCGCAGCTGTCCTCGCCGCTGCTGGTCGTCGAGGCGCCCTCCTCGGGCGAGATCTTTGACGCCTCATCCGAGGCCTCCTGCAGAGTATCCTGGGCCCTGGCGCTGGGCTGTTCGAGCTCCTCGGCCTCGGCGCCCTTCTTAGTCTGCCGTCAAATGTTAACAATTATTTATATTTATTGGCAATAGTTAAAGAAAATATATATAAGTTAACCTTCTTGCGCTTCTTCGGCTTCTCGGCTTTAACGGCGTGAAGCTCGGCCTCTTCTTGCTGGGCGGACTTGTAGCTGGGCGGAAAAAATTTGGCAGCCTCCTTATGGCCAACAACCGAGTTGGGGCTCACATAGCTGGGGCCATATTCCATGAGCAGCGGTATCGTCGGACCCGGCACCTTGTTTACTTTCAGCACAATTTTATCGGTGCTGCCAGAATAAATTAAATGAATCGTCGAACATTTGACATTTAAAACCAGGGTTGCAAGCCAGAAATCAAAAAATGGCCAACGATTCGGTTTGCGGTTCGTGAACCTGGTTTTTGACTGCGGTTCATTATTTTGAGCCGGTTTCGCTGAAGTTTCGGTTCATATTTGAAACTTAAGTGGAACTTTCGGTTCAAACTGGAACAATTTGAATGAGGCTTGCAGCCCAGTTGAGAACAGTTACTTACGGCACATAGGGCTTAGCATTGTATTTATCGACGGAGTTGGCTATAAAGACGGCAGTCTGCGGATTGTCGCTGGTAAAGAAGCCATAGAGCGGCACATCCTGCTTGCAGGCGTCGACCAGATTGATAAGATCTTTCTTTTTGTACGCATCGAATGTCATGATGATATGTGGCGGTTCGGGCGTCGGATCGGGCGGCAGAAAGGCGGCGGTTTGTGCCCTGAAATAGGTATAGATGAGGGCCGCATGCGTTCTCTGATCGCTTGCCACCCAGATGGGTGGTATTTTGATGGCCTTAAAGTGCAGCGTGTCCTCCGAAGGTTCTGAATCTGCTTCCTCATTTACTTAATTTGAAAATGCATTTATCTATCAAATTCTTTGCAGGTGCATTTTATGCGCTCACCTTCAATTTGTACCTGCACCGTTATTTCCAGGTCTGTTATCAGGGGTGGCAGAACGGTTTCCTCCTCGTTGAACTCGTCGGGTGGCTTTATGGTTTCTTTGGTCAGCTCATGTGCGTACTGCTGCAGTATTTTGGGCGGCGTTCCGATCGTTTCATCCACTTTCCAAAAGCACATGAATAGCTCTTTGTCGTACAAGTGTTGGATAACGTCGTTGGGCAATGGATTCTCGGCCGCAAAGTTGACAGTGTTGAAATCGTTTTCAGTTATGGTAAACACTTTGCGATCTTTGCACTGAATCTTCAATGGATCCGCCGGTTCGGAGAGCTTCTTGAACATATCCCGATTGACCTGCGGACCAAATACCGTAATGCCAATATCTGGCAAATTCTCCATGATGGTATCTGTCACATATCTCAAATACTCGATGCGCCTCCTTTTGCTCTCCTCCAGCTCGATCTTTGCGGCCAATTCCAGAGCCTCGTTCTTAATGCGCAAGTGTTCCAGCTCAATGGGCTGCAGCTCGGTTATTTCGTAGGTCTGGTGCGGCTCCTTGGCGATCGTTGACTCCAGCTCCCTGGTGATCATGGCCACCAGCTTGGGCACATCTGTGCCAAACATGATGTTGATGGCCTTGCCATTCTGTGCAAATCTAGAGTTAGTTTTTGGACAGACTTTCGTTGGACTACTTGCCGCTACAAACATCCAAGTGGGCTCACTTTTCTTATTAAACCGTTCCAGATACGAAATTGAACCAGCTTTGCACTATTTTTTGGTTGTATTATAATGAATATTTTATAGGTTAGGTGCATTAACCTAACCTCACACTTTTTTTTGTGAAACTTACAATCGCCAGTTGCAAATTATCGCCGCCCAGCTCAAGTTTAATTTTGCGCAGACTGCCCACCATGCCCACACACGGACCACACCATTCCGAATAGATATCCAGAACTATAATTGACAAAAAAAATAAAAAACACCGTTTCTCATACTCTTCTTCTTGCTGTTGCGACCTTTCAGGCATACCCAGGAGGCCGGGTCGCTGCAGAAACTTTTCGAACTCCTCATCGCTGCCGATGTCCGCCTGCAGCTGCTGAACTCCGCCCTTCTTTGCCATTTCATGCAAAATGATTTGCACTATTCGCTGGGGCTTGCAATTCGGCATATGTAGGTCTTCTATGCATTTAGCGCATTAATTATTGATTAAACTTTGCTCGCTCAGGTACTCTCAGGTACTCTAGAGAATAACAACCAACCAGCAACGTTGCCAAGCTCAGGTAAACAAGGTTTTTGACCCGGCTAAAAGTCGCTTCCTATTTATAGATTTCGTATAGTCTGAAGAGAAGAAGGTTTGTAGTGAGAAGAGAACGAAACAGCAGAATCCTAAAAAATAGGCTCGTTGGTTCGAAGACATCCTTGAAGACAGGTTTTCAGGTTGATCCCTTGGTTTTTTATATATATATGTTTAAGAAATGAGGCAGAAGTTAAGATAAATTCCATGGTTGGGGCCTAAGTTTGGTTTAGTTTGGGTTTCGGTTCAGTCATTTTTTTGGATTAGGTTCGGTTCAAATTAAAAAATATAAATTGATTCGATGCTCGTCTTTACAGGCTATTTGATATTGTGACAGCATAAATGTATTTTTATATTTTCGCTAAATAGCTTAAAGTGCCTGTTTGTGCCTTAAAAACGACCAAGCACACGTTTAACATGGCATATAAAATCAATAAAAAAAATAAAAAGAAGCCGGTTATGGAGGGTTGGTTTCTCTGCCCACGTTGGGGTACATCATTAATGCGGCCTTTTGTTAACCTAAATAGGAAAGAATTTTCGTTTTGTTGTGTTTTTTCATAGAATTATTCTCTCAATGATTTACATGTATTTTCCTTGTTATAAAGATCTTTAAATTCAATATCCAGTGCAAAAACACATAATACGTAGACATAATACAAACATACACACCACACAATATATGTACATAGATACATAATGTACAAATATATACATATATATGTATACATATATATATATATATATATATATAGGCATATATATATATATATATATTAAAATACCAGTTTGTCAGTTTTACAATCTTAAAAAATGAATAATGGAAATATAGATGCAGCGGTGTTTCTGCTTCAACTCTCGGCAGTTCGATTTATGAAAACAGAAACAAGTGCAACAAATTCATGGGGCGAATGCCAATAAAGGTTGTTTGCTATTAGGACCAAGCGTAGTGGAAACCATCGGTGACGTCTCACGTCTCACGTCTCCTGGGAATGATGCTGTGTTGAATGTTCTCTCTCTTCTTCATTTTGAGTTTTTCCAAAATGGTTCGCTTCACGTTTGCCTTTTGGTGTTGCCATTTGTAATAGTTGTTGGTCTCACAGATGTGTTTGGTTGGTTAGTGTGAAGCACAGTGTTAGGGCATTAAATGTGCTTGACTAGACGCAATTGGACAGTGAATTTGGTGCCTGAACTATTCCAGGCCCAGCATCCAGTTGATGCCTTGTACTATGAAAAATATAAGTGGCTGCCATGCGACCAACCAGCGAATCCAGTCTAGCAGCCTACCATAAAGTACGTGTGGCTTCTCCCAACTGCAACACATTCAAATATTAGTATTTCAATTTTCAAAAAAATAGACCCAGCAGCTACACATACGGATTGCGAAACATTTTCTGTAGATCGACCTTCTCCTTGCAGTAGGGACACGTCTGCTTCTTGCCCACAATACACCAGCCTCGTATGCAGAACTCGTGGAACACGTGATTGCAGGACAGCTTGTAGGTGTTCTCGATGACACCCTCCTCCTTTTCGGAAACCAGCAATTGATTGCCGCACACCGCGCACACGTTCTGATCCAGATGCCGAGTGGGCATGCCTTGAGGCGTATAATACTGCAAATAGCCAAATATTTCAGAGTGCGCTAGTCGGGAATGCCCGTCTAGATGATACCCAAAAGCCGACATTGAGCTATTTTACGACCATTCTACCTTTCTTCGAAGCATACATAACAAAAACACACATACGCAGAAGGGAAATACTTCATATCCTTCATGAAATTGTTTAAATATGGCAAACAATAATGTAGACTTCTAGCTTTGAAGCATATGGAAATATCTCGTCTCGGAAAAAAATATTAATAGGCCCGTACTGCGTAGGGTATACGAGAAGTCTTTAGCTCTCCTAGTTACCGAGATCGCCGAACAGACAAACGGATATGGTTAGATCAACCCAGCTCTTCGGCCTGGTCAAGAGAATATATAAACTTTATGGGGCCGTCTCCCTGTTACAGACAACGGGCATTATGCCCTCTCGTGTTTGCTCGTTTTCAATGGGTTCTGGGTATGAATAGATAAGCCAGCTGGGACTACTTACACCAATGGCAGCAGCCATTTTATCTGAACATATCTCGGAAATGTCACGACCCAGTACACCAATATATAGGCCATAAAAACAGAACATGAGGCCGACATCCATCCAGGTGTTGGGCGGTTGCGCGAATATATAGTTCATGCCAAGAAAGGCGGCCATTATGACCAGATAGCCAATAATGCCCAATCCATAGCTTAGCTTGTAGATGAAGTAGAACCATTTATAGACGAGCCTATCGAAACAAGATTGGGCTAAAGGCAAAGGTTGATTTGTTAGAGCAGAGCAATCCACTCACCTGGGCGTTGTGCCCTGTATGGGTTTGGTTGTGGCACGACGCATCACAAGTGCCGTGATGCACGTGAATATTAGCCAAATGATAATGAAGCGTATCCAGATGAAGGTGCACGAGATGATAAGCGGTATTAGCCACATGGCAAGCAGTGTGACAAATGCATAGGATCTGTAGTGTCGTTTCTTCCATTCGACGAGTATGATTTGGGCAATGACTAGCGTCATAAACAATATGATGACCATTTCAGAGTGCATGGCATCGTGACCCTTGTGCTTCTCCACCATCAGCTGATGCTCAGCGCTGCAAATCGAAGAAGAAGGAGAAGAAGAAGAGATGAACTTTCGTGCAATAAACTTTCGCACCTTGAACCTTGTGGCCATCAGCTTACCGCATGCGCTCCTCCGGCGACATCTCGTCCAGGGACTGTAAATGAATGAATTTGGGGTTAACATTCGAAGGCAAAGATCTGCATTTTTCCCCCCTACCCCCTTACCTTGTTCAAGTCCACCGGGGCATGCAGGTCCATGTGCTGTTGATGCATATTGTCGCTGTGTGCCGGCGCGTACAAACCAAGCCGTCGTCTGCGTCTTTGCGGAATTTTGTGAACAATTTGGTTTCTCTCAACTTACAATTTATCTAAGTAATATATGGGTCTAAATAGAAAACAAATAATAATGGCAATATTACATATTGTCCCTGTTTTGCCTATCATCAGAGTGGCCTTGCCACTTGCTACTGACCGCTCAGCGGCGTTGCCATTTGTCAAGGCAGCGCCAGCAATTGAATGTTTATAATAATTCTCAACTATTTCGTTCGAACTTACTCATGCGCACGCATTCTTCAATTTAAAATGCAAACGTGTCAATTGTTGTAAATGAAAATTGCTAATACAATATGGATATGAAATTGAAAGAGCTGTAACGTATGCAGCAGGCGTTGCCACGTACGCGCACACCGCTCAGCTGTCTGACAATCGATAGGTAACACACTTCTGACGTTAAACAGCACTACTTCCATTGTTTATAAACTATAAACACAAAAGAAAACGTTAACGTTCGAGTAAATAGAAAATGCAAAGCGATCACTGGGGCTCCATGGATGAGGACAGCGTCGGCCTTCCGCCCGACAAGTTTGTGCCGACGACCGCCAAGAGGCTAAAACTGGATGAGATACGGCAACGCGGCGATTCGGTGCCGCTGCCCGTGGATAAACAGTGAGTACAGTGATGTCTGCCTGGAAACGCACATAATATATATATATATCTGTTGAACAACAGCGATGAAATTGAGCTAAAGAGCTCGCTGGTCACGCAAACCATCGAGGTGATGAAACAAACCGAAGTGCTGCAATCCCTCATCGATACGTACTCTAACAAAAATGTATGTAACATATTATGCATGCATTGCCGGTCACTATTTACTGTCTTTACTGTACTTAGGGCACTTCGAACTATCTGCTCAACCCCTGCCAGATGATACCCGAAGTAGACTTTCCGCCCGAAAATGCCGCCGATTTGGTGAGCGAACAGAAATTCCAGAAACCCATCTGGTTTATACCCACTGTGAATACGGCATATTCACGCGGTGACCCGCAACCCCATCCCGAAATCTCCAGCAACACCTGCCGCCATGCTCTGCGCAAAGTCATGTGCGGCCTGCTGCGTCTGGCGGGCTTCACCGACTGCTCCGAGACGGCGGTCATGCTGCTAACCGATGCGGCCGAAGAATTCTTGCGCAGCTTCATCACAGAGTATCGTGGCTACTATGACATCGATGACAGGCTGGAGAAGTCGACGATGCTGCAGCTGCTGCCACTGGAGCGAGCCTACTTCAGCATGACGGGCACATCACTGACCCAGGTGCACAACTACTACAAGCACAAGGTGATATCGCGCAATCGCGTCGAGATAGCCGAGTTCAACAGCGTGCTGCAGGAGTACGACAAGCTGATGAAGGAAAGCCAGAGCAGCATGCAGAAACAGCAGCAGATGCAGCAGCACCACGACTTCAATGGCCACGACTTTCTCAACATGCTCGAAATGCAGTCGGGCGACGATGGCGGCAGCAGCGCCAACGGCAGCAACAGCATGGGCAACATTGTCGGCGACATGCTCCAAGAGCTCGGCGGCAGCACTAACTCCAGCATATCGCTGAGCAACGGTCAGCAGCAAATACTAAGCGGCAATGCTTTATACGGCCTGCTCGATGGCCAAATGAGCAATACTAGCTCCACAATGGCCAGCACCAGCAACAGCAACAACTATCCGAACAATTTTGATACTTAGCACGACAGACAACACGTTAGCTGTAGCATAATTATCATTCGAGATATCGATGAGCAACTATTTTCATCAGATGAATGAAATTAAGGCTACGGCTAGCGCGAGCGCAGCCCTTTTTGTCAGCATAGTTTTACCCTCCAAGTGCCGAATATGAAATACCCTTGCAGGCAATACCCTTAAAGCAATATTTGCGATATATATTCCTCTATAAACTATCAAACTCGAATTTCGAGTTAATTGGCTTTCGAGAACAAGTTTTCCCATGCCAAACAAATTTCTTTCACAATTCTTCCTCTAGAGCTGTATAATATAGTAGTCCGATATTGATAAGATTGAGCGCATATATAGTTAGCATGGTATAGATCTTAAATGTTAAGATTGGTTAAAATATCTTGAAAATCAAAAATGTTTTTCATCTGACAGCTAGTTGATATAGTTATCCGATGTTGATAGGATTTGGCACGGATGTGAGCAGCACATTGAAGCGCGTAAATGAAGTCTGTTAGGTTGTATTGAGATGGATAAATGTTTTTTACAATAGTTCATAAGGCAGCTAATATAATATAGTATTCCGATCAGAACCACAAAGTAACATGTATCAAAATAAATACGCCGGACTTGGCGTATTGAGGCTGATTTGCCCGCCCACGTTTCCAGCTGTCCGCTCAAAAGAGTTGTGGACAAATTAAGCGATAACTCAGGAAAATCGATGTTAACAATTAGTTAAGCTTAACAAACACTTTTTATTTCAAATTGTAATTGTATACTTTTGCCAGTTTTTACATACATATGCCCAAGTGCATGGATTGTGAAAAAAAAACGATGCTATTTTAAGTTAAAAGTGAAAAGTAACCTTTAAATAAGTAAGAAGCAAGATGCGTCGACGATTATATAAAGATATGTTATATATGTTAAGAAGATAACTCCTATGCGTTGCACAATTCATAACAATAATTATAATGTCAGCTGCAAGGGTATAACAACTGCCAAATCAAAATGCAAATTGAGAAATCAGCTGCTCTCAAATAGAATCAGGAACTCTTTTATAGCAATAATAAGTCGCCTTATACATATACACATATACTAAATGAAAATTACTCGGCGTCGCTCGGGTCCAATGTTTAATGTTAAATAATGCAAGCGCTATGCGAAATCGCTTGTGCAATTTGCGCCAACTTTAGGCAAATTTTGTTTTTTTATTTATTAATATTGCTCTTTTCTTAGTGAATAAATCAATTAAGTATAAAATTCGAAAATTGAACTGACGACCTCACGTTTGCCAGTCCGACCACGAAGTTGTTTTGATGCTCTTTATGCAAACTTTCATTAACGGATTGCCCCACTTGGTGGTCAACCCGCAAGGAAGCTTCCAGCCAGTCAGAAGAAACTCGTTACAACTTTGTCTTTTTATTCTGAAATCTTTGGTTAATCTTTGTCTCGTTCCAGTTGTTTTTGCGGCGCTGCGCCGTAAAATCGTTTGTAGCCTCAATTGCCAGCAGCTTGTGGCCCTGAGCATCGCAGGCCTTGTACTCGAAGAGTTTATCCTTGCGGTATCTGCGAGGCGCCCAGCTGAGCACATCCTTGCCCTTAAGTATGGCATCGCCGCTGACGGCAACGGAGGCCAGTGCGGCAGTTGTTGACGTTTTATCCTGCTCCTCCCCCACCAGTTGACGCCGCCTTATGGTGGGCTTCTGTTGTGGGACCAGTTCCGGCTCGATGTCATCCACCACATAGCAATCGGCATTGGCGACAAGTTTCACCCGACTATACCAGGGTGTCTTCTCTTCCGGTGGAGCACTGTGGGACGGCTGCTCCGTTGCACAATATTCAATTTGATTCTGTATAATTGTGCTTAGCTTTTGCCAAAGGTGCGTTTGCATCTCTGGACTAACTTGCAGATCGCTGGCGGGCACAGCACTTTGCTCCGCCAAAAAACGCTCGCTTTTCGGCAAATCTTTCGCCGGCGCGGCAGCCGGCGGCGCTTTGATAGAACTTGTTTTGAACATGTCATTCGTGAGCAGTGTGTGGTCGGCAGCCTCCAAAAACAAACGCATTTGTGCGTCGTCTTCCTCGTCTGAATCCGTATCAATTTCTTTTAATTTGCTATTCGGTGCTAAAGACATAATGTGCGGCTTTTTATGGCAAATTGCTTTTGTTTACATTTAAGTATGGCACGCCTATCGATAACTTGGCCACCTGCGATTGTTCAGCACTGTGAACGATATTCGTGTTGTTTAACGGCAGACTGTCACAGACATCAAGCAAACTGTTATGGCACGCCTATCGATAACATGGCCACGTTCCGACCGATAAAAATATGCCAAAACCTGCGATTGTTCAGCACTGTGAACGATATTCGTGTTGTTTAACGTACATAAATCATCAAAATAGGATTTTCTTTACAAACGAATCGTTTTTTGGTCCACAGCTTTTGTTAACACATCGATGTTTAATTTGCTTGAATGCCATTTGATAGTAGGGATCCGTACGAATGCAAAATGGTATAACATTTCAAAATCAGACATCGTTTACCCGAGATATTCAGAAAAAATCATCAAAAAAGGTTGACTTTACAAACGAATCGGTTTTTGGTCAACCACTTTTTTTAACATATTCATTTTTAAAATGAAAAAAAAATCAAAAAAGTTTAGATTTTCGAACCGACCCCGAATTTGAGAAAAAACGTGATGTAACCCCTTGCCATTTTGATGATTTTGGTCAAAATTTAGATTTTCATTTTTTTGATGCCAATCGAAAGTACTGATCCTTACGAGTCCAAAATGATATTAAATTCCCAAATCGGACATTATTTGGCCGAGATGTTCCAAAATATCATCGAAAAAGGTTGACTTTACAACCGAATCGGATTTTGGTCAACCACTTTTTTTACCCATCGATTTTTGAAATGTTTGAATGCAGATTGATAGTAGGGATCCCTACGAATTCAAAAAGGTATAATATTTCAAAATCGGACAGCATTTACCCGAGATATTCAATAAAAATCATCAAAAAAGTTTCGATTTTCGAACCGACCCCGAATTTGAGAAAAAACGTGATGTAACACCTTGCCATTTTGATGATTTTGGTCAAAATTTAGATTTTTATTTTTTTGATGAAAATCGATAGTACTGATCCTTACGAGTCGAAAATGGTATAAAATTCCCACATCGAACACTATTTGGCCGAGATATTCAAAAAAATCATCAAAAAAGGTTGACTTTACAAACGAATCGGTTTTTGGTCAACAAATTTTTTTAACTCATCCATTTTTAAAATGTTTGAATGCAGATTGATAGTAGGGATCCCTACGAATTCAAAAAGGTATAATATTTCAAAATCGGACAGCATTTACCCGAGATATTCAATAAAAATCATCAAAAAGTTTCGATTTTCGAACCGACCCCGAATTTGAGAAAAAACGTGATGTAACCCCTTGCCATTTTGATGATTTTGGTCAAAATTTAGATTTTTATTTTTTTGATGCCAATCGATAGTACTGATCCTTAAGAGTCGAAAATGGTATAAAATTCCGAAATCGAACACTATTTGGCCGAGTTATTCAAAAAAATCATCAAAAAAGGTTGACTTTACAAACGAATCGGTTTTTGGTCAACCACTTTTTTAACCCATCCATTTTTAAAATGTTTGAGAAAAAACGTGATGTAACCCCTTGCCATTTTGATGATTTTGGTCAAAATTTAGATTTTTATTTTTTTGATGCCAATCGATAGTACTGATCCTTACGAGTCGAAAATGGTATAAAAGGTTGACTTTACAAACGAATCGGTTTTTGGTCAACCACATTTTTTAACCCATCCATTTTTAAAATGTTTGATAGCAGATTGATAGTAGGGATCCCTACGAATTCAAAAAGGTATAATATTTCAAAATCGGACAGCATTTACCCGAGATATTCAATAAAAATCATCAAAAAGTTTCGATTTTCGAACCGACCCCGAATTTGAGAAAAAACGTGATGTAACCCCTTGCCATTTTGATGATTTTGGTCAAAATTTAGATTTTTATTTTTTTGATGCCAATCGATAGTACTGATCCTTAAGAGTCGAAAATGGTATAAAATTCCGAAATCGAACACTATTTGGCCGAGATATTCAAAAAAATCATCAAAAAAGGTTGACTTTACAAACGAATCGGTTTTTGGTCAACCACTTTTTTTAACCCATCGATTTTTGAAATGTTTGCAGATTGCAGAATGCAGATTGATAGTAGGGATTCCTACGAATTCAAAAAGGTATAATATTTGAAAATCGGACAGCATTTACCCGAGATATTCAATAAAAATCATCAAAAAAGTTTCGATTTTCGAACCGACCCCGAATTTGAGAAAAAACGTGATGTAACCCCTTGCCATTTTGATGATTTTGGTCAAAATTTAGATTTTTATTTTTTTGATGCCAATCGATAGTACTGATCCTTAAGAGTCGAAAATGGTATAAAATTCCGAAATCGAACACTATTTGGCCGAGATATTCAAAAAAAATCATCAAAAAAGGTTGACTTTACAAACGAATCGGTTTTTGGGCAACAACTTTTTTTAACTCATCCATTTTTAAAATGTTTGAGAAAAAACGTGATGTAACCCCTTGCCATTTTGATGATTTTGGTCAAAATTTAGATTTTTATTTTTTAGATGCCAATCGATAGTACTGATCCTTAAGAGTCGAAAATGGTATAAAATTCCGAAATCGAACACTATTTGGCCGAGTTATTCAAAAAAATCATCAAAAAAGGTTGACTTTACAAACGAATCGGTTTTTGGTCAACCACTTTTTTAACCCATCCATTTTTAAAATGTTTGAGAAAAAACGTGATGTAACCCCTTGCCATTTTGATGATTTTGGTCAAAATTTAGATTTTTATTTTTTTGATGCCAATCGATAGTACTGATCCTTACGAGTCGAAAATGGTATAAAAGGTTGACTTTACAAACGAATCGGTTTTTGGTCAACCACATTTTTTAACCCATCCATTTTTAAAATGTTTGATAGCAGATTGATAGTAGGGATCCCTACGAATTCAAAAAGGTATAATATTTCAAAATCGGACAGCATTTACCCGAGATATTCAATAAAAATCATCAAAAAAGTTTCGATTTTCGAACCGACCCCGAATTTGAGAAAAAACGTGATGTAACCCCTTGCCATTTTGATGATTTTGGTCAAAATTTAGATTTTTATTTTTTAGATGCCAATCGATAGTACTGATCCTTAAGAGTCGAAAATGGTATAAAATTCCGAAATCGAACACTATTTGGCCGAGATATTCAAAAAAATCATCAAAAAAGGTTGACTTTACAAACGAATCGGTTTTTGGTCAACCACTTTTTTAACCCATCCATTTTTAAAATGTTTGAGAAAAAACGTGATGTAACCCCTTGCCATTTTGATGATTTTGGTCAAAATT